GGGGTCCCGCTGGGGTGCCTGGCCAGCCTGGGTGAGGGGCTGATGGCTGTTTGCAGGCTGGCCACAGCCCCTTCAGTGTGGGGGTCCCCACTGGGGTGCCTGGCCAGCCTGGGTGAGGGGCTGATGGCTGTTTGCAGGCTGGCCACAGCCCCTTCAGTGTGGGGGTCCCCCCTGGGGTGCCTGGCCAGCCTGGGTGAGGGGTTGATGGCTGTTTTCAGGCTGGCCATGGCCCCCAGCCACCCAATCTCCCAGTGGAGGCTGGCTGGAAGCAGGTATCTGGGATTTATTTGTCTTCTATAATTGAAACTTTATTGCCTTGAGCGGAGGCCACAGCCGGCCAGGGCAGGCAGGAAGCTTGGCTTCCTCCATCGCAGGGGCAATCAAGCCTCCTGCTTGCTCCAGCTCCGTGGCTGCCGGCTGCCATCTTGGTTGGGTTAATTTGCATATAGTCACTCTGATTGGCTGGTGGGCGTGGCTTGGGGCATAGCAGAGGTGCGGTCAATTTGCATGTTTCTCTTTTATTATATTATATTATATTATATTATATTATATTATATTATATTATATTTAATTTTTAGTGTGTTAAATGGATATCTCTTGGTAGTAGGGCTTAAAACATGGTAGACAGAGATTGATTTTTACATACCTTTATTTTATTTTTTTATTTTGTTAATCCTCACCAGAGGATCGTTTTTCCCATTGATTCTTAGAGTGGAAGGGAGGGAGGGAGAGAAGGAGGGGGAGAGAGAGACATCAATTGGTTACCTCCTATGCATGCCCTCAACTGGAAATCAAAACTGAGACCCTTTGGTGTGCAGGCCAACACTCTAACCCAGTGGTTCTTAACCTTCCTAATGCTGCGACCCTTCAATACAGTTCCTCATGTTGTGGTGACCCCCAACCATAAAATTATTTTCGTTACTACTTCATAACTGTAATTTTGCTACTGTTATGAATTGTAATGTAAATATCTGATATGCAGGATGTATTTTCATTGTTACAAATTGAACATAATTAAAGCATAGTGATTAATCACAAAAACAATATGTAACTATATATGTGTTTTCCCATGGTCTTAGGTGACCCCTGTGAAAGGGTCGTTAGACCCCCAAAGGGGTCACGACTCACAGGTTGAGAGCCGCTGCTCAAACCACTGAACACACCAGCCAGGACTGATTATTATGTACCTTTGAATTAAATTGTAGGAAATGTCCTCTCACTCAACAGCATGTTTTAGGTCCTAAGTTAAACCAGGAGCTTTGCTGTATAGTTTGGAGTCTGATCTGTCAAGATGCATGAGGCTATGAAAAGACAAATAATTCCAAAGAGTGATCACCATGACTCTCAAGGTCCACATTTTGCAGATGTCAGAATCCTCGAGATTTTTTGCTTTAGAAGAAATTATAATTTTATTTATATTTTATTTATACCTATGATAGTTTTCTTTATTATTTATTAAAGCTAATACCATATTTTCTGGATATAAATTACTTAAGAAACATAATAGCATAAAAATTTTTTTAACCCCCAATAATTTAAAAGATAGGTTAGTTTTGCTCATTAGAAGAGCGGTCTTATGTTCTCAATTTTGTTTATCTTTTCAGAAAACCAACTTTTAGTTTTGTTAACCTTTTCTATTGGTTTCCTAGTCTCTATTTCATTTATTTCTGCTCTAATCTTTATTATTTCCTTCCCTCTTCAACTTTGGGCTTAGTTGGTTCTTTTTTCTAGTTCCTTAAGGTATGATGCTAGGTTGTTTGAGATCTTTTCCTTGTTTTAAATGTTAGCATTCATATCTACAAACTTTCTTCTTAGGATTGATTTTACAACACCCCAAAAGTTGTGGAATGTTGTTTCAATTTTTATTTGTTTCAAGATGTTTTTTGATCTCCCTTTTGATTTCTTCTCTGATTCATTGGTTGTTCAAATGTGTTGTTTAATTTCCACGTATTTGTGCACTCTCCAGCTTTCCTTCTGTTATTGAGTTGTAGTTTCATACCATAGTGTTAGAAAAGATACTTGATATAATTTCTACTTGAATTTGTTGAGATTGCTTTTGTTCCCTAACATATGATCTGTCCTGGAAAATGTTTCATGTGCACTTGAGAAGAATGTCTATTCTGCTGCTGTTGGATGGAATGTTCTATATATGTCTGTTGGATTGTTTGATTTCTGGTGTTCACGTCTCCTGTTCCGTTACTGATTCTTTGTCTGGCTGATCTACCCATTGTTGACAGTGGAGTATTACAGCCCTAGCTATTACCGTATTATGTTTATTTCTTCTTTCAGTTCTCTTAGAATGTGTTTTACTTGTTTAGGTGCGTAAATATTTATAATTGTTATATCTTGTAGAATTGACCCCTTAGGTGCGTAAATATTTATAATTGTTATATCTTGTAGAATTGACCCCTTTATCATTATATAATGAGCTTCTTTGTCTCTTATGACCATTTTTAGCCTCATGTTCTCAAAAATATGATTCCTACAATTAAAGATTTCCTGAGAATGTCAAGATACTGTTTTTGAAACCTGAAGAAAGGAGCCTCAATTAAATGTATTTGTTTTGCTTTAAGGTTTACAAAGAAGATCTACCTCAGCTAAAGCAACAAAGTAAAGAGAAAAACCATGCAGTGCCCTTCCTCAAACGAGAAAAGGCTCCTGAGGACAGCCTGAAACTCCAGTTCATACACGGGTGGGTGCCTGTCACCAGCCTTAGCATCAGGCTAAGGATGTCCCCCTTCTCTGTGCTTTCCCACCTCAGGCGGGCTCTTCTCTCCAGTCTGCGCTTGCCTGTGATTAATATTTTAACCATTAGACTGCGTCCAGTTTACTCAGTTGGTGTTCTGTGGCCATCACAATGTGTGTGTCTAGATTTTTTATACTTTATGTACTTCCATGATGCATATATTACTGCAGCTCATTGTTGTTTCACTTGATTCTCTCCACCATCTCAGGTTCCTTTGTTCCCATAATTCCTGCTCTATTTTGCTTAGCTCCAACTGGGACAATGTTTTCTTCAAAAAACATATGGCCAAATCATTTTCAAGTTTGAGAATTACATATAACCTTCCAAACTTTCAGTTGAAATTAAAATTTTTCAGCAAAGTGTCAATGGTTGTGAGGAATATAATATCTAGTGTTTTATAAATGCATCCCTCATTTAAATGGAATCAATGGAGCTTATGAAAATATTGTAAAAATGATTTTAATAAGATAGAATTTGATTCCCACCATCATCAATTTAAAAAATATGTGAACGAGTGTATTATCACTCATATTTCTTCTTGAACTTAGATTTTCATTCTACTTCTCCCACAGAATTTTACCCTATCGTAATATTTTTTATGCTTGTAAATCTTTTATTGTACCCTATCATACTTTTTGCTATAGGTTCAAAAATATCTACAGGTTCAATTTTTTATTGATTTTTAGAGAGAGAAAAGGAGAGGGTGAGAGAGTTAAACATGGATTGACTACTTCCTACATGTGAGGAATCGAGCCCTCAACCCAGGCATGTGCCCTGACCAGGAACTGAGCTGGCAACCTTTTGGTGTATGGGCCAATGCCCAACCAATTGAGCCACACTGGCCTGAGCAGTTCGATTTAAATTTAATTCCCAGAAACCATTAGACTCTTGAGAATGGTATCCACTGAGCACTTGAAATGCGGCTAGTCTCAGTTGAGATGTGCTGTATGTGTAAAATGCACACCAGATTTCAAAGATTTAACATGAAAAAGTAATATACCTCGTTAAAATGTTTTATATTGATTAATGTAGACATGCTAATATTTTAGACATATTTGGTTAAATGTTCTCAAAATAAATTTCATCTATTTTAATTTTTTTAACATGATTAGAAAATTTTAAGTGACCTGTGTGACTCACATAATATTTATATTGCACAATGCCTCTCTAAATGTTAATAATTTTTTCCAGTTTGAATTATCACAACTATTAGTAGTACACAGCTTATGAAAATATTATAAAAATGATTTTAATAAGATAGAATTTTTCAATGAGTTCAGGTATGTAGTCATATATGCATACTTACTACTAGAGTATGACAGAGTAGCATTAAGTCTATTCCAGTTTTTCATTTTTTAATATATGTGAGACTTAAGAAAACTTATTCACATAAATGAGTCAGTGAGAATGGGAGCAGTTTTATCATAGCTACATTACTCAATTCTTTAAACTCCTCTTGACTTAGAGGCCAAAAATGTATATTGTGATTTTGATATATCACATAAAATGTCGTCTAATGATCTGATTAAATCTCACTTTAATTTATTAAAAGCAAATAAATTGGAAATCACTTGACTTGCAAAAGGACTTCTTACCTCGTCCTTGGAGTTGTTCACTTTCAACATCCACACTTGTATTGTACATTGTCCCTTTGTGTTGGTGTCCCTGGCAGGTTTGTCACTCCAGGGTAATACACCGTAGTAAGAGTCCAGATGGACCAGAGGAATGACTTCCTAAAGTGGGAGGAAGGCAACTGTGTGAAAGGGGAGGTGGTAAAGGAAAGCCTGCATCTCGCCACAGGTGTGTTGTCAGACTGGTCAGTTCTAAGAAAGAGCATATGCAGTAGCTGAGGATCTGGAAACAGATTCTCTTAAAATGACCCCTGCCCATTTTCCCCTCAGAAAGTCATCCCATGCCCTCAGAAGTCCTCGTTCCCTGAATATCGTAGTTAAGCAACTATGCATTCACCTATGTTTCTACTTGTGCATGTCCCTACGCCAGCTTTACCTTCTGACAGCTGCTGCTCTGTTCATTCACTGCTTATTCAAATGCTGTGCCTTTCTCGGACCTGTGCTTCAGATACAGAGGCTACGACTGTAGGAACAATCTATTCTACACGCAAGCTGGAGAAGTGGTCTACCACATCGCTGCAGTTGCTGTCGTGTACAACAGGCAGCAGCACTCCCAGAGGCTGTACCTGGGGCACGATGATGACATCCTCAGCCTGACCATCCATCCAGTGAAGGACTATGTGGCCACTGGGCAGGTATATACCTCTGCTCTGAGACGGGTCTGGCCAAAGAGAGGGAGGATTTAATTTTGAATCCACTTTATATATTAGAAATTCAAGAAACACTTGGTAGAAATAAACCTGAGGCAGGAAGCTGAAGATGTAGTAAATGCTGGATTAGTTCATGATGGTGGGAAAGTCAGCCAATACCTTCTAACACGGTTGGGAAGCCTCCAAGAGATTATCACCTTAACATGAATCATCTGTGAATAGAATTAACTGAAACAAATAATGTCAGTTTCATCAATGTGCAGTCTTAATATACTTTCCTCATCACTGTGTACTTGGTACCTAATATATCCTAGGTGCTCAATACTCAGTGAATGTTTATAGAATGAACCATCTTTTCATACTACTATAACATCCAGTGATTTTTTTAAAAACTTAAAGTCATATGAATTTTGACTTATTATTTTATATTTTTGCATTTCAAAGAAAATAGTTGCATGTCAAGTCTCAGAATAGTTGTCTCTGTTAACTTTTGACCTTCATGCAAAAGTTTTTTGAATTTTATCTGAACCATTTGGAATGCCTAAACTTTGGATTAAGTCTATAATCGAAAAGCTACTAAAAAAAACAGCCCTGTGTTCAGTCATTTTGTGTGGGGAAAGGAAAGGGATTGAGCTGCTTAGTAAACAAAGCATCTGTTAAACTCACATTTATTACCTTGCTGGTAAAGTAGTAATACTGTCAACAGTATTTTCAGTTTTGTATTCTTTTTTTCCAATGTACAGATTACATTTTTATTCAGTTTTGTCATGGGGCTTTTAACTGAAGTTTAACTGATTCTTAGTAGTTTCTAAGCGGAATCCAAGAAAAACTTTTGCATGAAGGTCAAAGGTTAAGAGGAGACAACTATTCTGAGACTTGACATGCAACTATTTCTACAGCACTTGACTACAGAACAGAATCATTCTTATTATAATTTATAAGTAATTAACACACTCACCCTGCTGTTTAAGGTTGGAAGAGATGCTGCCATTCATGTGTGGGACACGCAGACTCTGAAGTGTTTGTCACTATTGAAAGGACAGCATCAGAGAGGAGTGTGTGCACTCGATTTTTCAGGTAAGCCCGTTTTCCACTGGTCATTGATGAATGGTTCTACATTTATTTTGAGGATGTTTTTTCTTTTTCTAACAACCTCTTATTTAGTTGAGTTCTGTTGGTAGATCAGCTCCCCAGTCTTAGGCTGGAAATCAGATATATTAATACCTCATAAAGAAATGTGGCTTTTAGATTACACGCCCTTTCCTTGTCTGCCTCATTTCCTCTCTCCCAAGTCGTTACCCTGAGCTCGCACTGTGTTCTGCATTTACTTGAGCGATTTGAAATCCAGAGCAGCTGTTGCTGTTGAAAGACTTAGTTGCAAATGTCTGGCAGTGACTCAGACCATCAATTTTAACTCTCCAAATACGGGGGAGCCCAGCATTAGTGATTTAAACTATAAAGAACTAGCGTAAGGGCTTTGAGTTCTCTGCAAAGGGCCACTTCACAACACTGGAGTTTTGGAAATAAATTTCACATTGAAAAATCGAACTGAAGGTTCCATCTTTTTAATTTAAAGTTTGAACACAGTACTATAAAAATACCAACTGATGGCTATTATTTTCTTTAGAGTGAGGCCGTTTCCTTAAACTAGAATTGGAGACTGAGGACTTATTGCAAAAGGTGTTTTTACCCAGAAAATTTGAATAATCCCAATGGTAGAAATTAGATCAGTAGAAAAAATTCTTAATTTTTCTACAGAAAACGGATTCTATAATTTATTTCTCCCATTAAATGTTTATTATGTGCAACATGTATACTATTGGTCATTAAGTTCCATGACTGCACAACCCATTTCTCTCTTGTGTCCCTCACTCTCTGCTCTCCTTGTTCAAACCCTCTCTCTCATCTGTGCCATGGTAGTCCTGCTGGTCTCTGATTCCCATCGGCACTTCCTCTAGTCCATCCTGCACACTTCTGGAAGCACAGGTGTATCGCCACCACATGGGCTCCCCTTGATTGTCTGACTCAGGGCTGATCAATTGGCAGGACATTCATGGCCTTCCAAGATCTGGTCAGCCTTCCTCTGCAGTGTTTTCACCCGCTAACCCATTCACGCTCCTTCACATCCACCTAACTGCAACACTAAATGCACCCTTGTTTCTTTTGCCTGGGTTCCTTTGCTCCTGCTGTTGCTATGTGTCCATTCAAGTCCTCCCATCCTTTAAGACCAAGCGGAAAGTTTTCTCCTCCATTCTTCCCGGGAGAAATAATGTGCCTCTTCTTCTGCATCCCTTAACCCATTTTGCCATTGCTCTTAAAGTCCATGTGGTACAGTAGTTATTAGTGTTGACATCTCCTATGCCCTTCACATATTGTAAGCTACTTGGGCAGCACAGCTCATCTCTGTTTGCCACTGCACATATAGTGTTAGGGGCACAAAAGCTACTCAAAAAATGTGAGAATTGCCTTAGTAGATAGAGCATTGGCCTGCAGGCTGAAAGGTCCCAGGTTCAATTCCGGTCAAGGGCACATGCCCAAGTTGTGGGTTTGATCCCCAGTGGGGGGTGTGCAGGAGGCAGCCATATCAATAATTCTCTCTCATCATTGATGTGTCTATCTCTTCCTCTCCCTCTCCCTTCCTCTCTAAAATCAACATATATATTTTTTTAAATGTGAGAATAAATGAATGAGTGAACAAATAATAAAGTTTTGTTTAATATACTTTTTTTTTACTTTCACTATTACTATTGGAACTTCATATTTTCACCATGTTGGGGTGAAAGTTATCTTTATTCTTTAACCAATAACATGGTGCAATTTGGGGTGTTTTTTAATGAAATGTACATTCTCACAAACTATAAACTACAAATCTGAGTTGTTAAATCGATATTACAATTATACTTTCTGTGGTTATTGGATCAGTAAAAATCAAAGCTAAGCAGTTTGCACCCTACACTAGTGGTGTCTGAGGTAGAGAAGGCATGAGTATCGAGGGAAAGAGAACTACTCGGCATAACACCTGCCAGTTGAAAGTCCAGAGAACACACCCAATAAACGGAATACAAAGTCCTAGACTTCCACAGGTTTGATGGACATGCAGTTTTATGGTAGGTGTGCCACCTGTCCTTGACAAAGCAGTAAAATCTAAAGGAATCCCTAATTGGAGTTCAAATATAGTTCTACTCCGAATATGTGAATGACTTTCTTCTGTATTTTTCATAGTTCCACTTCTCAATGGCCAAATTTCCCTTTTCCTAAAATTAAGTTTGCTAGCAGGTATATATGTGTATACTTAATATAAAAATAATATTAAGTATGCTCTAAAAGAGTGGTAAGATACCCATTAAAGTAGAAAAAATACATAAAAATAATAAAACCTAAATGTGTACTAGTTCATAAAGAATCTAATATATTCATATTTTGGCAGCATTGAAAATTAACTGAGTAATTCTAGCAAACAATTTGGCACCATAAAATAAAAGCTATAATTCAAAATGACAAGTATGTAGACTATGTGTATTTCATACATATTTCTATGTACCAAGTTAAGTAGCAGAAAAATAGGACTCAAAATAGCACCTATTCACTGATTTCATCTGAAAATGTATGTGTGTTTATTAGCATATAAACAGAGTAGCAAGAAATTTAGAATAATATAAATAGAATTTAACAATCATTAGATTTTTTTCCATAGAATTGATTGATTCTTTTTAATTTAGAAGAATCAAAAGAACTAACTCATGTTACTTAAATACCATTAGAGAAAGGAATTAGAGGAATGTTGATCAAAGACATTAATTAATTATGAGATGAGTGAGTAAGCTGCTATCCAGTAACTTGGTCTCTGAATTTCTAAGAGCTCACATCTCTTCTGGGCTTAGTAGTTTTATAGAAAAAGGATCAAGAAATGATCTTCGAGCCATAGCTAGTTTGGCTCAGTGGATAGAGTGTTGGCCTGCGGCCGAAGGGTCCTGGCTTCCATTCCAGTGAAGGGCACATGCCTGGGTTGCGAGCTCGGTCCCCAGTGGGGGGCGTGTGGTAGGCAGCTGATCAATGATTCTCTCTTATTGATGTTTCTGACTCTCTCTCCCTCTCCCTTCCTCTCTGAAGTCAATAAAAAAAAAAAAAAAAAGCAATGATCTTGGAAATCTTTCCCTCATGAGGCAGTCCTGCAGATCTTTGGGGGAGTGAGCGGGGAGTGGCGAGGGAGAGAAACCAGATACTAGGGAGAGGTTGAGAAGCTGATTCTCTCACTGCTTCCAATTCTCATCTTGGGCAAATAAAGAAATCCCTAGATATGAAATATATCCTGCATTAAAAGTATAATTTTAGTGTTAACAGTACAGTCTCTATTTCCCAGGTAACAGTCACTGGGAAAGAGCCCATTTATTCAGCAATGGTGTTATTTTTGATTGTGAAAAATGAGGTTTTTGTCTTGGAGTTTAAGGAAACCAGTTGATAGTTTTAGAATGCACTGATAGGAAGGACTATTCAGGAAGAACGTTCACTAGTGTCTCTTGTGCTTGATCTGTCACCTTGAGTAGTTACATGAAGATGAATTGTGGGGGTTGATTGACCTTTGTGGTCAATCAGCCCCCACGATGGCACCTCCTGAAGGTGTGAGCTGAGGCCTCTTTGGTTTAATTTTTTTGCTGGTATTTTGGGTAACAATATAACTTTAGGCTTCAACAGACTCCTGTACCACTTTACAAGCCAAGAATGGAGGCCCAGAGAAAAGTCAAACAGTGGCAGATCCAGCGCTAGAACCCACGTTTTTTGGCTGGTGGCTCGGCTGGATGGGGAGTGCTCCCTCCTCAGTCCTCATGCCTTCTCCTGCCCTCCACCAGGGCAGGTGTAAACTTTTGGCCTGAGTGTCGTGCTTGGAGCTCGCCTAGAATAGCCCTGAATCACACAGTTACCTCTAAAGGAACAACTATACCTTCCTTTTGAAAACTGATAGAAAAGTCAATATCCCAAGAGAGGAGATTAGATTCCCTGCTTAACCATGTAGACAGGGCACCCACATTATTATCAACTAGTTGGTGGCCCCATCTGTGTGTCCCAGTACCTCACACCCACCTATCTTTTACAAATCAGCTCATTTTGGGAGGTGATGTGGAAACATACTGATAGCACATTTGTCTCTTATTAGAGGAAAATTTGTCACGGAAGTACAAAATAGGCAAATGATGTGAAAACTAAACAAAAAATGCCATTACGCATAAGGGTTTAGATTAATCTCTTGCCACTGTTCCAAAGCAAGTAAAAGTAAGACATTTTTAATCAAAAACATTTCTTACAACATAATCCATAACTCTAAATTATGTAAACAAGAAGGATTGCTTCACTTAATTGAGCAACTCTTTGTGAGTTTATCATCACTGACGAGGGAAAACAGCCATCTTTGTTTCTGTGCTTCCACATGAATAGAAAACCAGCTTAGAAAGAGAAACTTTCAGCCCCATAAATATTTTCTAACCTAAATATCATCCTCATATTTTTAAAACCTTCACTGAATAATACTTGTGTTCCGCAAGGCACCTCTAAGACTAATTTGATTTCATTGTGTTGAATTCTGAAAAAGAAAAACACCATGCATTTTTTATGAGCTTCAAATACAGGGACCAACTTGTAATTGTCTGAATAAAAATTTTCTCTTTCCGATTTGCCCTTTACTGTTGACATTAAGTGCCTTAGAATTATTTCTGGACATTGTCACGAAATATCCATAATTAATACATACTGTGACTGGAAAGATTTGAAAGAGCATTATCTAGACTCTAAAAATATGGCTGAAAATAAAGAAACCCAAAACTAGTCAAGGAACAATGGATTTTCAAAGCTAAGGTCAAGCTCTGTGGGGGAGAATGAAAACTTGGAAAAACTGAAAGGTAGCCAAATTTATATTTCCAAAGTATGTAGTATGCTGAAATAGCCTAAACCTTCACAACTCAAGAAAAGTCACTATTCATGGGATGTAAAGTACAACATAGGGAATATAGTTAACTAGAGGCCTAGTGCACGACATTGTGCACTGGGGTGGCGGGGGGTGTCCCTCAGCCCGGCCTGTGCCCTCTTGCAGTCTGGGACCCCTCAGGGGCATGTCCAACTATGGGGAGCGGGCCTAAGCTGGCAGTCAGACATCCCCCTGAGGGGTCCTTAGCACTGCTGCAGAGGCGAGAGAGGCTCCCACCATTGCCTCTGCACTCGCCAGCTGTGAGCCCAGCTTCATAGGGACCGTTCATTCCACTGTTCAGTCAATTTATGTATTAACCTTTTATTATATAGGATAATATTTTAATAACTATGTATGGGGACAGGTGGGTACTGGAAATATCAGGGTGACACTTTGTAAAGTATATGATTGTCTAACCATTATGCCGTACATCTAAACTAACACAATATAATATGAAACGTAATTTTAATTGAAAAAATTTTTTTTAAAAAAAGGAAAAGTCACTATCCTAAAAGAAGAGGTATAGTGTTGAGGCACCTCCACTTTTGGACTGTTTCTTCCATTGTGACTCATAGTCATGATATCCTTCTAGGGGTAGGAAAGTGGCATAACTGTGAGGACAAGCTGATGGGGACTTGCAGAAATTTTTTAATTTTAAAAATCCATAAAAATCAGTTTACCCTGAGGCCTTCTTCAAAAGAGGTAAAACTTTAAAAACTATCCTCTTTTTTAAAAAAAATATATTTTATTGATTTTTTACAGAGAGGAAGGGAGAGAGATAGAGAGTTAGAAACATCAATGAGAGAGAAACATCGATCAGCTGCCTCCTGCACATCTCCTACTGGGGATGTGCCCGCAACCCAGGTACATGCCCTTGACCGGAATCGAACCTGGGACCTTTCAGTCTGCAAGCCGATGCTCTATCCACTGAGCCAAACCGGTTTCGGCTAAAAACTATCCTCTTAAGTGTGTGGATGCTTGTAGTCTAAGAAGAATACATTAAAATAGCTATGCAGGTTTAAAAATAATACAAAATATAGAATTAATGAAGGCAAGAAAGAGACCTTGAGTATTTCCTAAATGTCCTGTAACAAGCATACTGCATTTGAAATAGGGAAACTAAGAAATTAGGATTTTTTAAATGATAAAATTATCTTTTAAAAGAAATTTTGAAGTTAAAATTTAGTTTCTAAATGCTCTTATCTCAGAGGGTTAACAGAACCCAGTGTTTTAGAGCTGAAAGTGGACTGAGTCACAAAGCCAAATGGCTCTTCCAGTAAATGTCATGAGATTGGACTGTCACAAAATAGACAGGGTTGTCCTGACTTACCTGAGTGGCTCCCCAGCCTTGTGTCTAAGACTGGCATGTTGGGTCAGGGATTATATTCAGCAGCCAGTTAACTATGCAACCGGTTTTTATGCATTAAGTAGTTATGCATTTCCTTTAGTGAGGCCCCTTTAGTATAAGATACTTCTAATGTACTTGAGCCCAATAATGATCTTAAGGTCAATTTCTCATTCGTCTTTATAGCATATAAAATGTTTCGGTATTTCATTGAAGAAATGAGTTATTTGACGTTTGTGTTGTTTTCATACAGCCGATGGAAAATGTCTGGTGTCGGTTGGTTTAGACGATTTTCACAGTATTGTATTTTGGGACTGGAAAAAGGGAGAAAAGATAGCCACAACAAGGTAAGAAGCGGCCGAGGTCCCACGGCATCCTGCCGATCATCACGCTTCGGTATCGGTCAGTAGTTTTCATTTTCTGGTAAGATTTCATCTTCACACTCAGATGAAATTTGCATAGAAAACTTAACACCCAAGAGAAAACACGTTGCTATATTTCTTGGTGCCTCGCCTGACCAAGAGCAGTTAATGCTTGTTTCGGGTAATCAGAAAATTCCGAAATCCTTTCCGCAGAGTCACTCATCACTTTGCTTTTAGTAACACATGCGTATCTCTAACCAGGCTTTTTACGAGCAGCAGGAAAGCGGCTTTTCTCAGGCTTGTGCCTTGCCCCTTGTTTTTCCGCTGTCTTAGCATCTGGTGGAGGATTGTCAATGTCACTGGAGTCAGAAGTCCCATTAGTCATGAGGCCGTGGCGTGCTGGGAAGGAGGCCCCAACCTGTGCGTCTGCCACTCGCTTTCAAAGCAGGCAAATTGTTTCCCTAATCTCCCATCTTATAAATAGACTTTTCAAGACTGACTGCTGTTTATAGACCACCTGTCCTCCCTCACCCCAGCCTCCCTCCCTGCTGAGTCAGCCCGATGTCTGAGCGTTACTTTCCACTTAACACAGGGCGTAGCTCTTTGCCAAACGTGGTCAGAAGTCAGAATAGCTGGCAGCCAAGGCCCAGCAATACAATTTGTTGCGCAAGGCGTGTTATCCATTTGCCTCTCTACTAGTTCTTCCCTGCATTCACCAACTGCTTATTTTGCAATATGAAATCATTTTTGAACGAATAGCTTTGAGCCCAGTACGTACTTCCTTTTTACATTGATATATTTCCCTCCGCAATATGAAGTGGGGAGGAAGTTTTTTGGCAATTTGATTTAATGAATGAAGATTTGTAAATTGCTGGAGACTCAGAGGAGGAGTCGATGGAGCCTTGAGGACTCCAGCTGACCATCTTGGGAGGAAAGGAGAAGCTTTTCTGATGGCAGCTATTGGATAGATGGTGTTCTTGGCAGCGAATGGCAGCTCATAAATTCGCCTGCCCACGTGGTTTTCCCGTGGTCTCTCGTCGTCCTGTTCCTCGCTGCTGTATGACCCTCTGGTACTCAGGTGCAGGTCCCACCCCTTTTCTTCTCACTTGTTAAATGTGTATCTCTTTTAAAAATTTTTTTTAAAATATATTTTATTGATTTTTTACAGAGAGGAAGGGAGAGGGATAGAGAGTTAGAAACATCGATGAGAGAGAAACATCGACCAGCTGCCTCCTGCACACCTCCCACTGGGGATGTGCCCGCAACCAACGCACATGCCCTTTGACCGGAATCGAACCCGGGACCCCTCAGTCCGCAGGCCGACGCTCCATCCACTGAGCCAAACCGGTTTCGGCAAAATGTGTATCTCTTTTAAAAATAACACTTATTAATCTTTTCTCTGTTTTCAAAATAACACATGATCATTATAGAAAAATTAGCATGAAAAAGCACCCAGAAGAAAATGAAAATTATCCGTAATTCCACTACCCAGACATAACTATAGCTAATATTTTAGCAAATATTCTTTAGTATATATTCTAGTATTTCTATTCATTTTTATTCATACATGGGAAAGAATGTGTACTGCTCTGTAACTGGCATTTTTTTAAACTCACTAAAATATCATCTCACTGTCTTCTAATTTATGTTACCTGGCTTACTCTATATCAGTGGTTCTCAACCTTCCTAATGCCACGACCCTTTACTATAGTTCCTCATGTTGTGGTGACCCCCAACCATAACATTATTTTTGTTGCTACTTCATAACTGTAATTTTGCTACTGTTATGAATTGTAATGTAAATACTTGATATGCAGGATGTATTTTCATTGTTACAAATTGAACATAATTAAAGCATAGTGATTAATCACAAAAACAATATGTAATTATATATGTTTTCCGATGGTCATAGGTGACCCCTCAAAGGGGTCGCGACCCACAGGTTGAGAACTGCTGCTCTATATTATTCTATACTAGAGGCCCGATGCACGAAATTCATGCAAGAGTAGGCCTTCCTTCCCCTGGCTGCCAGCACCGGCTTCGCTCTGGCACCCGGGACCCAGGCTTCCCTCCGGCCACCAGCAGGCACCCGGGATACAGGCTTCCCTCGCAGCCCTGCCTTCGTCCAGAAGGTCATCTGGAAGGACATCCAGTCTAATTAGCATATTACACTTTTATTATTATAGATTGTACGCCATTTTAAATCTTTTTTTAGAGATGGAATATAAGTCAAACATTTATTCAGTCTTCCTGTTAAGGCAGTGGTTCTCAAACTTCTGGCCCTTTAAATACAGTTCCTCATGTTGTGACCCAACCATAAAATTATTTTCGTTGCTACTTCATAACTATAATGTTGTTACTGTTATGAATCGTAATGTAAATATCTGATATGCAGGATGGTCTTAGACGACCCCTGTGAAAGGGTTGTTCGACCGCCAAAGGGGTCGCAACCCACAGGTTGAGAACCGCTGTGTTAAGGGCTACTTTTACAAGAGAAGAGAAAGCAAAATCACACCGGACCTTTATGCAAATGAAAGCGCTGGGTATAGAAGACTAGAGACCCACTCGCCTGGTACAGCCAGCTGCCCTTGGCTTCTAGAAGTGCTTTCCTTTCTCCTTCCCCTGTGCTTGGGATAGAGGTTAACATGTGGCCTCTGTGGTGGATTACTTACGACTCAGGCACGAGGAACTGCCCTGTATTAGAGCAGCAGGCTTCCGCATTCTTCTCTCGGTTACAAACAGAAACTTTTCCACTTCGTTTTCCTTACACACACAGTTGTAGGCAACTTCCCTACAAATTTAACGAGTGTCTAAAGGAAAAAACACAAAACACACAACAGAGGTACCCCATGAATGTTCCTTATTTAGATGTGGACATTCATTAAATATTTACATGCCATCATTGGTCAGTTTAGAACTTTAGCCACGTTGCTGTGTGTTATATACCAAGAAACTAGATGGAAACTAAAAAGTGCTCTCAAAAAAGATTTTTCTATCTAAATGTTTGACATTGTACAGACACCAGCAAATAAAACAATACTCTTTTCTATCTAGGAAATGTAATTTAAAAAATATATCTGCCCTTAATTATCATTTTAGTTTTCTCTAGCATCTTCTCTCAAAGATGTATATTCATGATTTAGATCGGTGGGGATTTTCTTCCAACCAAGAAATCTTTGGATGCTTAAATGTCCTTTATGGTGATCTGGTTCACTTCTCCACTTTGTATTAAGCACATTTTCTCTTCTCTTTTATCTAAGCTTTTTTCTCTCTGTCCTAATTGTTCCCAATACATCCAGTGATGTATCCTGTCCCTAGTGTTCATGCTTCACTTTTGACTTTCAAAGAAACAAAGAGAAAGTTCAAAAAATCAGTTCCTTCATTCCTGGCTCTCCCTGTAGCAGGGCCCACATAATAGGTATGAAGAGGCTCTGATCTGTTCTTTTAAATTTTTATGATGGAAGTTTTCAGGGTGAGACAAAAGTGGAGGATATAGCATAATGAACTTCCTTGAACTATCACCCAACTACAACATCCTACTAATGGTACAAATCTCTTTCCCCTCATTTTTTACTTTTACTTTTTATTGCTATAATATATTTTTTAAAATATATTTTTATTGATTTCAGAGAGGAAGGGAGAGGAAGAGATAGAAACATCAATGATGAGAGAAAATTATTGATCGGCTGCCTCCTGCACACCCCACACTTTTCCATTCCAGTTCTTGTGCCTTTAATTTTTGACATCTTGTCTAACTGCATTAGTTAATATATTCAATACAATGTTAAATGGCAGTGGTAATAATAGTCTTGTTCTTGACTTTATTGGGAATGCCATTAAGTAAAGATCTGACTTTTGAGTTCACACACACACAAACACACACACACCCACACACCATGAATAAGTTACTGTTTCAGCACTTTTGGTTTTTAAAAAGGGTAAGGTAAGGGCACACAGCATTGCTGGAGAGTCAGCCTGTGTACAGTTGGTCTTGAATGAACATGGGTTTCTCAGCGAAAGTCAAGGAGTGCAGGGAGATTGGTCAGTCATGTTCTTTTTGTTAATTGCATTTCTCTTACAAAATGAAATATATGTCCTAACTAGACACCCAGTGCACAAAATTCATGCACTGGGGGAGGGGGGGTCCCTCATCCAAGCCTGTGCCCTCTCGCAGTCCAGGAGCCCTCGGGGGATGTCCGACTGCCGGCTTAGGCCTGCTTCCTAGGCCTAAGTGTTGTCATGGAGGCAGGAGAGGCTCCCACCACCGCTGCTGCACTCAGCAGCCATGAGTCCAGCTTCTGGCTGAGCGGCGCTCCCCCTGTGGGAGTGCACTGACCACCAGGGGGAAGCTCCTGTGTTGAGTGTCTGCCCCCTGGTGGTCAGTGTGCATCATAGTGACTGGTCCTTCTGCCGTTTGGTTGATTTGCATATTAGCCTTTTATTATATAGAATATTCCATAGAAGACCATGAAGTAGTGCATTAAGACAAGGAAGTCCTTAGAGTCTAATGTGATGACTATACTCTTAGGCAGAAATTTCCCCGGCACCGTGGCATGCCGGTCTGTAGCTCCCAGTCTAGAACCAGTTCTCACTTTTATATTCTGCCTTTTGGTTATAACCCTAACTTTCTGAATGCATAGCATCTGAAAGTTCCTTAAATCAATAGATAACATCCTCTCTCTCCATGGATGTGAGCCAGGGCTTTGACTTCCAGTGAGTACATTGCTAGGTGAAACTCTGTTATGATTTCCACTGTAAGAATATTACATTGGAAGCTCCTTATTAATGCTATTCCAGTGTCTTCTCTCTCCTCCTGTATCAGAGTTTCATATCCCAAGAATTATTCTCAATCCTATGGCAGGGACATTAATTTTATCTTACAGAGACATTCTGATCTATTTTAGATATTTCATTAATTTGTTTAAAGCATAATTAACTAGACTTTGGTAGCAATATTAAGGTGAGAATAAAGGGCTCAGACATTCAAAGAAACCTAATGCTTATTATTTTAATGTCGACTTTGTGTAATTTAAGTCATCTTCTAATTTAGTTGTCCTATTACATATGCTTAATGACAGTTAGACCAAATGCATGCTTTTATTAAAACTCTATATCATTGCTGCCATCAAAATTAGAATTTTTTTTCTTATTTGTCTCTTACAGAGGACATAAAGATAAGATATTTGTGGTAAAGTGTAACCCACACCATGTTGACAAACTGGTTACAGTTGGGATAAAGCACATCAAATTCTGGCAACAAGCAGGTACTGTTGTTTGGCTTTATCATTTATGTGGTCGAGAGCTGGAGAAGACCATGACCATGTCTCTACAATCTAAAATTAAAATGCTCCTGAAAGATATTCTCTCCCAAATTCACTTTGGACTGCTTAGTGTCTAAGCTGTGAAACTTAGAGCACTCTATATGGTGCTATGCATATTCATCAATATCTAGAAAGCTTTGGAACATGCTCTGGTGTGAAAATAATTCTCTTTAGCCCTCTGTTCTGAAAGCAGTCATTATGTTGGACTGCTGAGCAGGAAGTAAAATAATCACACCTTGGTTGGGTGAATACAGTTTTCAGGGAGGGTTCCTTTATCACTGAATTCAAAGAGTGAATTAAATCCTGACACCATACCCAGTAAGTAGTCAAAAGAAATACTTGTGGATTATAATATTGGTAATAGTAATGAGTAAATAAGCATGACAAAACATATACTGATATCTTATTCTTCTCACTAATAAGTCATACCTGTTACTAAAATTGCTTCTGAACTCTTAGTATCAGCTTTAATACCAAGCCCAATTTTATACTGGTCACAGCATAAAAAAGCTCCTGTTCCCATGCTTCTATTTTTCAAGAAAGGATGCTGGCACCAGCATGTCGGGAGAGCCAGCCTGCGTGGCGTTGTCTGGAGTGAGTCTGTGTTTCTCCGTGCTAGTCAGGAAGTGCAGGGAAATGAGAGCATCCAAGGGACGAATCTGATGTACCTTCTCCTACACAGTGATTCATTTTTCTCACCCCAAAGCTGCTGTGATTAAAATTGAGGCAAAACATATATAACATGTTTACTTTTCACATTCACAGCCGGCACTGCTTCTGTTCTTTTTGCTCAGCATTCAGGAAGATGGTCCCACCTCCCCCACGCACTAGTCACTCCTTCCTCTGGCTGTCCCAGACCGAGCACTGGCCCTTGGTTTGACGATCTCTTGTGTGACTGAGATGCGTATGATTATCGAGTCCCCTCTCCAGCCAGACCCCACGTTCCTTGAAGGCAGGAGCTCCCTCTTCATCTTTATATTCCAGCGTTGACCACCAAGCCTGCCACAAAGCAGGGACTCAATAAATGCTGAATTAATGCCTGAGTGAATGAAAACCCCCTTATATTTTTGTCTATGATATTTCCTGCCGTTTTCATACATCTCTGTGTATACACATAATGACACACTGGGCTTTTCATTAAAGGTAGTCGTTCTCCACATTCACAGAAAGTGTCACTTAAAAATAAAACCACGTAATAAATCCTCTTGGTCCACTCCAGGTGGGGGCTTCACCTCTAAAAGGGGAATCTTCGGCAGCGTCGGGAAATTGGAAACAATGATGTGTGTTTCTTATGGGCGGATGGAGGATCTAGTCTTCTCAGGAGCAGCTACAGGAGATATTTTCATTTGGAAAGACATTCTACTACTGAAGACAGTGAAGGCTCATGACGGGCCCGTGTTTGCTATGTATGCATTGGATAAGGTATGGCATCTTTATGGGAATTCACTTTCCTCCTCGGCTTTCTAAAATTGTAAGTTAATCTTAGGAGAGTAGACACCAAGAGAATCCTGTGTCTAAAAACAGAACTGTCTGAATTAGGACATCATTGTAATGAACCTCCAGTCAAGAGAAGGCAGGGAGTGCAAATATTTTAAATTTTCTCTTTCATTTGTAATTATTTTTATATGCAATTTCTCCCCACTTCTTTTCACACTTGTTCTTCCTGGCTCTCACTCCTAAAGCTCCTTAAGAATTAGTGGTGGGATAAATGTAAACACACAGTAGGAGAAGAGACTTGAGAAATATTTCAGCATTCTCTTCTCCTCGGTGGCACAGTGAGCAGAGACCTAGAAGTACCAAGTGGTTAGAGTATTGTTCCACCCAACAAAAGTGATGTTGACAACCAGTTTCTTCCTGCACTCTAACATCTTGTTAACAGCTTTAACAAGAGTGTCAGAGTGTGCCGGGAGCTGATCCATCCTTGCTGCTTGACACAGTCACTACAGGAAAGAAACATCTGCACAGCATATGTTTCAATGGACCTGGCGTATATAGCATACTGTTCTTAATATGTTTGCTCCCCTTAGCACTATGTGTTTTAACCAAGGTCACCTCTCCGAGAAAGGTTGTTTCCCCAGGTGGGGATTTTTCCCTGAGGTTAGGGAGGGGATACAACCCCTTAATTAAGTGCCAGGCGGGTAGTTAAGCTACATAATCTTTACTCCCTGGAATGGAGATAAGAAACGCCCTAACCTTTGTAATAGAAATTGACAGGATTAAAATCGGCTGGTATAAATACAGATGTAACAAGACAACCTCATCAGATCCTCATCAGCTCCTAACCAGAACCTAGCCAGAGAACATGGCAAAAGATCCTGGACAGAACCTGGCTACAGAACTTCACTGGAGAACCTAGACAGAACATGGCAAAAGAACCTGGATAGAACCTGGCTAAAGAACCTGGTGACTGAACCTGGCTGGAGAACCTGGAGAACCTAGCTGGAGAACCTAGCTAGAGAACCTAGCGAGAGAACATGGCACCAGAACTTGGTTGGAGATCCTGACCAGAACTTGGTTGGAGTTCCTAACCAGAACTTCGCTGGAGATCCTGGAGGGAGAACCTCGCTATGCTGATGAACTGAAACCAGTTTCCATGTCATTCATTCTTTGCCGACTCCGTCCACACCTTTGGGGATCCCTGGACCCGTTGGGGTTGGACCCCAACAAGAGTGAAGTCTTTAACCAGCTGCTTTAGGATTTTCCAAAGAAACAAAACCAGTAGAATATACTACATACACATACACATACACATACACATACACATACACATACACATACAGTCTTTACCATGAGTCGTTAGGTGATTTTGTCCCTGTTCAGAGTTGTGCTAACATAGAGTGTGCTTATGCAAACCTAGATGGTTGTTTTAGTGGTTAAGCTTTTTTTTTTTTTACTAGCAAACTTGTTTTGGGTTAAACTGCAAACTGCAAATGTTAGAAGAGATTAAAGCAGAATGCAGAAATTGATGTGATATAATGTGTTTAAACTTTTTATTACTTGGTAACTTAAGCTGACAAGTCATGGAGAAAGATGAGGATATCACAGTATAATATACTGCATTTAAATTTAATTTGGGGATTGATCTCCCTGGGTGCAAAATCTATAGTAAGAATAGAATATTTAATGTAATAAACTCCAAAATATTTTTCCTTGTAAACATCATTAAAATGCAGTAAATTAAAAGTTTCTGAGAAAACAGAATGAGTTACTCAGTACTTTTCTTAAAAAAAAAAAAAAAAGATTTTTCCAAGAACAGTTGGTATATGTGATAAGTTGCCAGGAAGGAAAAGTGGTAAGGCCAAGAAATCATAAATTTAGAACAAGAATCAAGATCACTGTTCAGTTAAATATATCCAATATGTTAAGCTTTTACTCTCCAGGTTTTGTAAAAATTAATCCGGATTTTAATTATTGTGGAAATTGATGTCTTTCGAACAAATTAGCAGGACCGTTTTGTTATATGAAGTGCCTAATTCGCTCTTAATAAGAAATAATGATGTTTTCACCTAGGAGTAATTATTTCATTTAAAAATATTTAACAATCATTTCATTGTGATGTTAATTCACATTCATTCAGGAGGAGTATAGGAGATACCAGAAACTGCCAGACTTTGCGGCTGGTCCTGTTCTGTAGGAACCCACTCTCTAGTCAGGGGGCTGGGCACAGGAAAGGCCGTGGCCCGGTGCACCAAGAGCCAGCCTCAGGGCTGGAGGCAGTGCAGTGGACACGGAGAATGTCCTTGATCCTGCTAGAGAAGCAGGGGAGAGATGCTTCCAGAAGATATCATATTGCTGTTACATCTTGTCAGATTTTTCAGTCCCCTCTACTTAGGAAGGAAACACACACAAAGCTGCTTTACCCACGGGGGGCTCCTGTTGGGGCTGGGTGGGCAACTGCTCATTTCAATGTGCATGTAATTCTTCCCGTGTGTGCCTTCACAGGGCTTTGTAACAGGTGGAAAGGACGGCGTCGTGGAGCTCTGGGATGATATGTTTGAAAGATGCTTGAAGACTTACGCCATTAAAAGATCAGCATTGTCGACTAGCTCTAAAGGTGCCACTCCCAAATACGCAGTAGAAACCTTTCTGTTCATAGGGATGGAGATGGTAGTACTAAGGTTCTTCGAAAACCATGATCAAATCAATTCTCTTTCTTCCACGTTCAGAGCTCTAGGCCCCTGGTAGAAATGTCAAGGATGATTGCCTAGTTTGGGAACTATAAGAAATAGAATTTATGTAATAACCTTTTTATTTTTAGCTCTATTAAATACATTTCCTCCCCTCAGGATTGCTTCTGGAAGATAATCCTTCCATTCGTGCCATCACTTTGGGACATGGACATATCCTGGTGGGAACCAAAAATGGAGAGATCCTGGAAATCGACAAAAGTGGCCCAATGACACTGCTTGTTCAGGTACCATGTTTGAACATATTCTAAACCACAGTTCACATCAGAGCCAGACCTGGGATGAGGTGTGGGGCGGGGGGAGGTCTTAATGTGCAAAACTTAAACAGTAGCTTTTAAAACAGCACACATTTATTATCTTATCATTTCTGTGGCTCAGGAGTCTGAGCATAGCTTACCTGGTTCCTTTACTAAAGGTTTCACAAGGCTGCAGGGAGATCAGGGCTGCAGTCTCATCTGAGGCTCAATTTAGGACGGATCTTCTTTTGAGGTCACTCAGGTTGTTGGCAGAATTCATTCAGTTCCTTGTGGTTGTAGGACTGACAGCTTCCATTCCTTGGTGGCTGTTGGCCAGAGGCCACCTTCAGCTTTTAGCTGCTGCCCAAAGTTCCTTGCCACATGGGGTTCTCCATCATGGCCCCTTACTTCCTCAAAGCCAGCAAGGGAGAGAGAAAAGATAGGCACTGCAGTGTTATGTCACGTAATCATATCATCACATATATGTAATCATAAACATCCATCACCTTTGCCATATATTTTTATTGAAAATAAGCCACAGTTTATGCTATACTCAAAGGGTGATTATATAAGAGTGTAAAAATCATGAGCATCTTGAGAGTCACCTCAAGAGTCCATCACAGCCCCCCTCTGGCCACCAATTTTTCATGTTCCCACCCATTCAAAATCCATTCCCTCCTCCCGAGGTCTAAGAGCCTTATCCTTATCTATTTGCAGTATCTGCTCAAAGTCTGCAATCTCATCGTCTAAATCTGTTCCAGGTGTGCAGAAGGCTCCGTAGGGGTATTTTCTCTCAGTCTGTCAATCTGTAAAACGAACAAGACGTTCTCTGCTCCACACACATCAAACATACAAGCATCTCTTTAGATTTTGTGCCTCACTTTAGCCTCAGCCTTGATTCACAGAAACACACTACATACTCCTTACCCTCCCTCGGCCCTCAAGAATTATATTCAGGTAAAATCCGATTAAAATAAATACCAATGAATCCTCAAAGATCAAAGAAATGATACAGTCTCGCCTGAGGGGGTAGTAGTATGTGAGGGTGAGTAGGTAGGTAGTCCTGCCCAATTTGGTGGTGGATGGACCTGATTTATAGATGGAAGAGGCATGGGAGGGAGAGCATGTGTGTTCAGAAGGTGGAGTAGAAGAATGAGCACCGAGCACATCTGTGGGTCCAGTAGGGGAGCATTGCCTCCTCCCCCCCCCCCTGCCCTGGCCCGTGCCTGTGGGCTTGCTTTATTAGGGGTAAGTCCCAAGATCCCACTGAGAAGGGTCCTCTGGTTGACTTCTCCCTGGGAACAGGTCTGCACACAGATCACTGAGAGGTTTTAGAAATGCAGGTGCTCAAGTCCTCCTCTGGGTGTGCTGAATAAGAGTCTGTGTTTTAAAAAATTCTGTTAAAAACAAACCTCCAAAGCTCTATAGCCGACTGTGCCAGGCAGCAGGATTGAGATGTGTCCTGGGTGTGACTGTCTTGTTCTCTGTTTGCATTTTTGTTGTTTCTTGCCAAACTCATTTCTTTTTCTTTCTGGCAATGACTTCTTATTTAGTTTTATTGAAAAGCAAGTGTTTGTTTCAATGTAAACAACTTAAAGTCTTTTTAGTTCATTATTGATTTTTTTAATGCCCATGTTTGAGACTTTAAATTGTTTTCATACGTGCTATATTGCTTAATATTTTTTAAAATTTTTACCATAATATAACTTAAACAGTGCTATAAGACTTAAACTCTAAGTTTTCCAACTCTTAAGTATTATGTTATAGTTGTTTAAATATGTTTTAAACTTGACAATAAAAGCTTTTTACTTTTTTGTTTTCTACAATTATTTTTTTATATTTATTTCTATCATTCTAATAGTACAAATAACCACAGGTACCACTTATTGAGCACCTCCTGTGTGTCCGGCAATGCAACATCTCTCTCTCATCTCCACAACAGATTGGCTCATTTCAATGTGTATGTAATTGGGTCCCTATTGATGAGGGACCAAAGCCCAGTAAGAATTGCAGAGCTGGGGTTCAAACCAAAGTTTGTCAGACACCAGAGCCCTTTTTTTGTCACTGCACCAGGCTGTTCTCAGTGTCTCCCAGTGGAGACTGTGGAAAGCAGTACAGAAGGCACGGCCCCTGAGCTGTGGAGCTGGTAGAACCATCTCTTCTTACATGTGTACCATTCATTTCCTTATTCCTCAGCATCTCTTTCCTCTTCTGGCCCATCAGGCCTGTGCCGTTTCCTCCCAGGTAACACTCAGTGTTGAATTCAGTCAATGTTGTCGGGCTCCTGCCGAGATCTGCCCTGTGCGGTGCACGGTGGGTAGGGCCACCTGTTCCCAGGCTCTGGGCCCCATTCTGAGAAGACGGACACGGAGGGAAAGCTCAGGGACAGGAGAGGCCGCGTGGTTAGGACCATCAGCCAGCCTGTGTGGGAAGACTTCAGGTCCGCTTTTCCAGGTTCAGTAGCACGGCAGCCAAACCGGTTAGGGCTACATTGCTGATTTTTAAGAGAAGGAAAGCTATGTTGGGGGAAGAGAGAAGTGACATGAGGTGATTTCTGACCATTTCCATTGTGTGCACTTTGAATATAGTCAGCTCAGTCATGCAGCTGTTTATTATCAGCTTCCTGGGAGATACAGTAGGAAAGTAAGATCCCAAACTCATTTCTTTGTGCCACTCGAGGTACTCCCAGCCTGCCTCGCTCACTGTCCATGGCTATGTTAGACAGGAGTTAATAGGATCATAGATTAAGGAAATATAATTTTTAAGTCAATATATGAAGCAGTGGTTGGAAAGGGCCTCAGAGCACCACAACCCTGTCCTCAAGCAAAATGAGCAAAGGGCCTTGGTCCGTAAAAGAGCTCCAAGCAGCTCCAGGCTGGGGCATGCGGGGGTTGATGCCGGACCCATCCTCTGACTATGATCTTGGAGGTGGGAGGCTTCTGAAGGGAAGAAAGCTAGGGATATAGGATGCTTCAAATGCAATAAGTTCAAAAACAACATTTGCACCCTTCAGCCCTCCACAGGTATTTGAATGTCACCTGAATTTGGAACTCTTCTGCCAAATTACTGTTTTGCTCAAACAGCTTCCTAGTCAAATCATAACCATCTGATTTCTCTCTGGAAAGCCACCTGTTCCCCAAAGCATTCCAACTCCAGACATTTCCAGATGCCTGTCTATGGTCTTTCTTTTCTTTTCACTGAGCAGAGCCTTTTTATAATTAGCCACTAAAAGTAGAAATTCAGTTAACAATCTGCTCTGTCTTATTGCCTCATACACTAATCTGTTTACATGGCTTTACTGAGGGACAAATTATAGAAATGGGATTTGTTTTCTCCTTAATTATTTATTTTTAAACTAGTGTCCTGGTGCACGGATTTGTGCACATTGAAAGGAAATTAATTAGAAGAAATATTTCAATATTGCTATTTGCATCTTGCTAATGAAAAGAAAATAGGATTCTATCGAGTCTCCTATGTACCTTCTCCAGGACTTCTCTGTGGATCAAATGAGAGAGGCACGGGAAAATGCTTCACAAACATTTGGTTAAACTGTAAAATGTTTTCACCTGGCTATAAAGCAAGTTGGGTTCCTGGGCTGAAGAAACTCCAAGGATGCTAGTCTCTAGGGAGATAAAGCCAAGTGTTGCTACATGACATCATTACCCGGCACCCACAGCGACCATTTCCAGGCTGGGCTGGGCTATGGGCCACATTTTGTGCCATGGAGTCTTGGCAGCGTTGGCTGCAATTTGGTGGGGTGTCGCTCTGGGGTGGTGGTGGGGCCTGTATCCCACTTGGGGGAAGCTGAGTGTTGGTTTGTTGGCCCCAGGTCCATGGTGCCATTTATTTTTAAATGGCCAGTGTGCGTCATGGCAGCTCGTGCGTTGAGCATCTGCCCCCTGGTGGTCAGTGTGCCTCATAGCTACCGGTCAGACGGACACTTAGCCTTTTATATATATAGATACCATTTTATCTCAGTCATTATTCTAAGCCAGTTAAGTGTGATTGTGATAAAGTATAGATATGTGGAATTGGCCTGGAGCCTGTGACACACCTCCCAGTTTTCCAAAGTCCATTGGATAGACCAATTTGTGAGCAAATGTTGAACCCAGGACACTTGAAGTGAAAACTTTAACTGTCTTTATTTCTGTTCTGCCAAATGCTATACATTCAAAGGACTAAAATGGAAATAAATAGACAAGAATATTGCTGTCTAAGATAGGTAGTCTCTGCGTCTTTAGAATCTGGTTTTATTGTGTCATTGTGATCAATAAATTGTGCTTTATATATATAGTGCTTATCTGATGTCAAACAACAGATTAAAATGAAGGCACTTCATTATTCACCTCGATGTTTCTAAATAAAAAGATGTTTGGCATCATATAAAACAAAATTTATAAGCGACAAATCCCTACTGTGCTTCCTAAAGGAATGCTTTAGCATCATGTCAGCCCAGCTTTAGGTTCAAGTGAAAAGCGTATTCATTTTGGCTCCAGGAAGCTCTAACTGTGTTTATTCGTACTTGAACCTGTTTGGAAGACACTTGGCTGCATATGCTGCATGAGGCTGCCAAAGAGCGAGCCAAGACACACACACCGAGTTGTTGTCCTGTTTCTCTCCACAGGGGCACATGGAGGGAGAAGTGTGGGGGCTGGCAGCTCACCCTCTCCTGCCCATCTGTGCAACAGTGAGCGATGATAAAACCCTGCGCATCTGGGAATTATCCTCCCAGCACCGCATGCTGGCAGTACGGAAACTCAAAAAAGGTACACGACCTCGCCTTCCACATCTGCAAGAGTATTTACAAAGAACAGAACGGGTTGGGTTCATTCGTTCACTCAACTGATATTCTCTGACAGCACCTGTTGGATGCCCCCAAGTGTGTCAGGCAAAGGGAATTCAGAGTTTGTTGCTGCGGTCATACTTCCGCAGGCTTCGAATTATTCCCGGAGGCTGGCCTGATCTGTCGGTGCCCAGCTCCGTTACTCACTTGCTTTTCCTTGCACTTCACAGGCACTTGCCACCTGGGGGCAATATGTCCTTCCTCTTCTCCTCGAGAGCTGTGTGCATCAGTTGAAATGCATCAGCTTCTAAAACATGCTGTTTGATTGTATGTCTAACCGTCTCCAGAACTGGTTTTATTTGCTGAAAAATGAAAATCTGCTAAACAAAAAGTAATACTTAATATCAAGGAATGAGTAAATAGTATATGTATTGAACTCCTATATGCACTAGAACTAAGAGGCATACCAAGTACAAATGCAGCAAATATTTACTGAGTAGCTTCTGTGTCGCAGGCACTGAGGATCCAAGATGAATGGTCCCATCTCTAGTGTCAGAGATGGACAAGATTGGAGCAGAGTCCCAGCAACAGATGGTCCATTCAAATTGGGTAATGTGAGGAGAGTCTGAAAACAAGACTGTTTGTAAAGGGGTGGGTAGGGATAGTGCAGCACTGTGCAGCTATTAGCAGCTGGTACCTTCACCAGCCCTGGGCCTGAAAGGGCAAGAGGAGGGAGCGATCGCCGGAACATTGAAAGTGAGAGCTGTGTGAGATGCAGCCTGACAGCAGCTGTGACCATCAGCCGAGATTCAGCCACATGCAGCGACCCCAGGGAGGCAGCCAGGGGGATCCTTCCTTCTTCCATCCCTCCCTCCCTCCCTCCCTCCCTCCCTCCCTCCCTCCCTCCCTCCCTCTCTTCTTTTCTTCCTTCCTTCTTTCCTCCCTTCCCTATCTCCTCCCTCCCTCCCTCCCTCCCTTCCTTCCTTCCTCCCTCCCTCCCTCCCTCCCTCCCTCCCTCCCTCCCTCCCTCCCTTCCTTCCTTCCTTCCTTCCTTCCTTCCTTCCTTCCTTCCTTCCTTCCTCTTTTGTTTCCTGTCTATGCTCCCCCTTGGCCAAACCCAATCAGAAGCCAGAGGGCAAGAAGGCCCATTGATGCCGTCTGTACAGGCCAGCTCCAGGCGCTGAAGAGGGTGGAGAGAGGGTGTGGAGAGGCAACCAAAGATAATCTGGCACAAACCAGGTACCAGGAGGCGCAGAGGAAGGCCTGCTGCCAGGGTCGGCTTCATCATAGAAGAAGATGAGAGCTGAGGCCCAAAGGGTTTCTGAAAGTTGAGGCAGGAAAGGATGACATTGGGTCTGGCACTAACGTATTTGTTTTATAAGCAGAGAGACATGGGGAGTGTATTCTAGGAGAAAATGAAGGTGTCAGAGAGTAGTAACAATGATGATGGTGGCTAGTATTGCTGAGCCAGCGGCTGTGCTAGCACTCTGCATTTGGCGGGAACCCACTGAGTAAGGTCATTGTTACCACTTAGGAATTAGGAAACTAAGGCGCAGAGAACTTAAGTCATTTGCCGGAAGTCTCACAGCTTGTAAGTGATGGAACTGAATTGAAACCCAGGACATGGGGCTTCAGAGAGCACACCTGTGGCCACTGCATGGCACTGCCTTCTACCTTATTCCTCTCTTCCCACTGCACACCTGGCGTTTGTTAATGGAGCCAGGACTCCAGCCCAGGTCTGACCCCAAAGCCCATGCCCTTTACCACCACAGGATTGAATCCTTTGGCCGCTGATTTATATGGGGAAACGATGAACCAAGTCCTCATCGTGAGTGGCTTGAGTGTCAGACAATGGACTTTGTTCACTAGTTAGACATCAGTTCAAAAGAACAGTTACTAAATTATGTTAGATAAGATGACCATTCAGCCCAGTGTATAGCTGTTGCCCTGGTGTAATTATTAATAGCTCTCCCTTTCACCCAGAAGTGTCCAGGTTTGGACGATAAGTTATATGGTTAACCCAATCTGATAATCTCCTCAGGGGTAGGCTCGCTTCCTGTTCTTTCTGCACTAGCACCAGCCCTGACTCATCGTAGGTGAATAGCTGTTTGCTAAGCGAAGGGAGGAAGATACGATTGGTGAGCTGATATGAAGTTGTTGGTATGAACATAGCTTTCAGTATCCCACGAGCAGTGACTGAGGAGTGTGCATGGAAGCTCACAGGGAATGCCTTAGCACAAGCATGTCAAACTCAAAGGCTAACACGGGCCAAATAAACGCGGCATGCAGCTCGTGAGCCAAGAGTTTGACATGCTTGCCTTAGCACAAGGCCGCATGACTGTCCCATCCCTGGGGCCATGCTTTCCAAAGTCTTCAAAATAAGAATGGGGGGCATATTCTTAGGATTCCTCTTAAACATACCCACCAGAGTCCATACTCCTCATTATAAGTGTCTCCCTGTGACCCTACAAAACAGGAGAAAACATTGCTCACGTGGCAGCATCAGCCATGGTTAGTCTTACAGATGCCTCTTGAGAGAATGTTGTCCATATTCCATCCTTCTCGTGACAGAAGAGGCAGGAACAAAACCTTTCACCTCTAGAATGAGGCATCATGACCCACGGATCCGAGAACCGAGCAAGGTTCTCTAAAGCAAGTTTTACATGTACGGCATGATTTAAAAAAATAGTTTCTAGAAAGTTTGTTATAGAACATCTGTTCTTAAGTATCACCACTTTTCTTGGGAGCAAAGATACTAGTTATAGTAACCCTTGGGAAACCCCAGGTATGCAGATACCAAGAAATGAATGGATGTCCTCAAAGAAATTGAAAATGTGTGTTTACCATGGTGATCACTGTCCTTGGGTTTGGAGGGAAGAGATGATTAAATGATGTCGTTTTAGTTCTTCTCACGAGCAGCGCTAAAGACACAGCCCACGTTCATGTGTCAGCGCACACGCAGGTCTCTCCCGCTTTCCCCTTGGTTGTTGGGTAGTCAAGTCAGGCCTAACGAGCGTGGTGTTGTGAGTTCGTTTGCAGGTGGAAGATGCTGTGCCTTCTCCCCCGATGGGAAAGCCCTCGCGGTCGGCCTGAATGATGGGAGTTTCCTGGTTGTAAATGCTGACACGGTTGAAGACATGGTCTCCTTCCACCACAGAAAAGAAATGATCTCTGATATTAAATTTTCAAAAGGTAAAGATGACGGCAAAAACTTTCAAAAATGTATTGGGACAAAAAGTTACAACAGTGGACTGTTTTCATGATTTCCTTGACATTTTCCCCGTTCTAAAACGCTAAGTTCACAGAAGCCAAGTCTTATGTAAAATGTTTTGATAGTAACTGCACCTTTTTCTGTATAGATACAGGAAAATACCTTGCCGTGGCCTCCCACGATAACTTTGTGGATATTTATAACGTGCTTACGAGCAAACGGGTCGGCATCTGTAAAGGTGCTTCTAGCTACGTTACACATATCGACTGGGACTCTCGAGGTAAAGTATGCCGTGGCTTTTAAAATACAATTTTTGTTTTAAAAAAGTCGATGTTCATCCATATTGTTTCTAGCGAGGATGGCAGTTGTGTTTTAGAGAAAAACGGGGGATCCCACAATAAAATGACTGTAATTTGACAACCCAGAGGCAGCTGCTGTTCACACTTGGGGTATTTTTCATTATTATCGGTGTTGTTAATTCCAGCCATTAGTTGGAAGACAGTTGAAGATATCTGATGCCTCCCCTTTGAGTTCGCATGCTGTGTCCTTGCCTTGGTCCCTTCTTACTGCGCTCCTCTCCCTCCCAGTGCTCCACCCCCGCGCCTGCCCCAGGAGCCTCAGCAGTTTTCATCCTCAGCAGAGGTGGGGAGTTAGGTGCCACTTACCTCAAGTTTCTCCGCTCTCTAAAACTCCCCGCCTGCCCCCTGCCCACTCCATCATGCCCACAGACACCATGCGGACACGTCTGTTCACTTATCTAACAAATCTCGCTTCTGCCATGTGCAAAGTCTTAAGCCAGAAGTTGTGGGGGATCTAGAAGTGTGAGACATGGTTCCTGCTCTCCACAGCGTGTATGACTTGGTGAGGGAGACGTCCTAGTCCCTGAATAATACAAGGGTACAAACTGGGTAGGGCAAGGGAGTGAGACATGGTGAGTCACGGAGGAAGGGGTGAGGCGGGGCGGGGATGGGCAGGTCAGCAGTGAGCACTGCAGGTGGAGTAGCAGTGCTACAGGGTGGGGCACTTCTCAGTCCCATCCTGGGGGGTTGGGGGGTGATGTTAGTTGGGGGTAGGCCTTTAGGAAAGGGCAGGGTCCCACCTTTCCGGGAAGGGTCAGTCCACTGTGGTGGAAGAGCATCCAGCCCAGGGTGTGCTCTGAGGAAGAGCTCCCGGGAGAATCCACGGAGCCTTCACAGAAGGCGTGACCTTCGAGATGGATCTTGAAGAATGAGCAGAAATTCACCAGATTGCAAAGTCTAGGACGAGCATTCCAGGCTCAGAAAGAACCTGATGTCCCAAGACGTGGGAAGAACAGGGGTGATTAAGAAACAGTGAGTAATGCTGAGTGGCTGAGAGTGTGAAGGGAGTGAGTGTGGAGGGACAGACCGAGACAGAACGTAAAGGAACTTGGACGTCATGCCACGCAAGGAAGTCGGACACTGCACTTTATCCCATAGCATTAGGTAGCTCCAGGAGACGTGGATGGGGCATTCCCCACCAGCTTTTGGAGGGTGAGTGAGCCTGGAGTTGGAAAGCATCTAAAATAAACCAGGAAAAAGGGGGTAATGAGGGCCTCAACCAAAAAGGTCCTTTCAGAGATGCCAGAATATTTTATTTCTTGAAGTAGGAACCATAAACGAATCCTTCTGCCAAGACAGGTATTTAGTTGTAACTGTGCTTGCTGCCCTGGAATTTGGACTTTATCTAAACTTTACAACCCGCAGGCATATTTATGTAGTGCAATAGATAGGAGGGGAGAGGTGCAAGTCCCAACAAGGGCAAAAGGAGATCCGATAAGCCCCGCCCATTGCATGTCAGGGCCATGCTGGACACGGTGCCAAGGGCTTAGGCTGGCATTTGTGACTGGGCCGGGCACCAGCCGCCTGAGGACACAGCGCCTGACAGTCATCTAAGGACCAGGGAGGCTGAGGGGGCAGATGGAAGCAGCCACTTCGCGACCCCTTTCTTTGATATTCTCTGCCTTATTGTTTGAAAAACAAAAGCAGTGATTTCTTCCTATTTACTCTCTGGCTAATATGCCTAGATATGCCTTCTTGTGAGAAAGATTTAAACCAGTCAGGGCCAGCCTTATGTGACCATAGACTAGAGTATGGGGAATTTTATTGAAAATTCACCACACACACACACACACACACACACAAACACACACACACTCTACCTGACACAAGAAGTGAAATCCCACCACTACAGTGACCATGGGGGGACTAAAACCAATTCATTATTTATGTATTAGGGAGTGAAGAGATACAAGAAAATGGGACATAGGAGGAATAAGTTTTGATCAAGAAGATTTCTGTAAAATTATTATTATAATTTTTGTTTTTTAATCCTCACCCAAGGATATTTTTTCCATTGATTTTTAGAGAAAGTGGAAGGGAGGGAGGGGAGAGAGACAGAGAGAGGAAGAGAGGAATATCGATGTGAGAGACAGATCAATCGGTTGCCTCCCACACACTCCCAAATGGGGCTAGGGGTTGAACCTGCAACCCTTCAGTCCACTGAGAACACCAGCCAGGGCTTTAAAATTATTTTTAACTGTGAAAAAAGATGCATAACAAAATTTAACATCTTAACCATTTTTCATTTATTTTTTTTAATTTTATTTTTCAGTAACAGTTTATACTCAGCATTATTTTGCTTTAGTTTCAGGTGTACAGTATACTGTTAGACAGTCATATACTTTACAAAGTGATTTCCCCAATATTTCCAGCACCCACCTGGCACTGTACTTGGTTATTTCAGTATTATTGACTATATTTCATATGCTGTACTTTACATCCCTATGACTGTTCTGTAACTATAAATTTGTACATCTTGTTCCTTCACCCTTTTGACTCAGCCCTAACACCCCTCCCCTCTTACCATTTTTAAGAGCACAGTTCAGTGGCATTGAATAAATTCACATTATTGTGCAGCCATCACCACTATCCATCTCTAGAACTTTTTAAAAAATATATATTTTATTGATATTTTACAGAGAGGAAGGGAGAGAGATAGAGAGTTAGAAACATCGATGAGAGAGAAACATCGATCAGCTGCCTCCTGCACACCCCCTACTGGGGATGTGCCCGCAACCAAAGGGACATGCCCTTGACTGGAATCGAACCTGGGACCCTTGAGTCTGCAGGCCATCGCTCTACCCACTGAGCCAAACCGGTTAGGGCTCTAGAACTCTTTTCATCTTATAAAACTTAAAACTTTATACCCATTAATCAATAATTCCTCGTTCTCCCTTCCTTAGCCTCTGGCAACCACCATTCCACTTTCTGTCCCTAAGAATTTGATTACTCCACGTACTAAGTGGAATCACACGGTATCTGTCTTTTTGTGACTGGCTTATTTCACTTTGCACAATATCCTCAAGATTCATCCATGTTGTAACGTGTCAGAATGTCCTTTCTTTTTTAAGACTCAACAGTATTCCGCAGTATGTACACACCACATTTGGTCCATCCTTTCATCCATCAGGGGGGTTGTGTCCACCTGTTGGCTGCTATGAACGTGGTGTACAGTGCTTATTGTGTACCCAGTAGTGGAATTTCTGGATCAAATGATAAATCAACTTTTAAGTGAGGAACCACCACACTGCCTTCCACAGTGGCTACACAATTTTACATTCCCACCAACAGTGCACAAGGGTTCCAATTTCTCCACATTCTTGCCAACAATTGGTTATTTTCTGGAGTTTTCTGCTTTGTTTTGTTTTTGATATCAGCCATTCAAATGGGTGTGAGGTGGTATCTCACTGAAGTTGGACTCACATTTTGAGAGGATTATTTTTTTAATTCCTTGAATGTGTAAGCCCTGGGTTGAATGTTAGAGAGATAAAGAGGAGTAAATCCCAGGTGGAAAGAACAAGATCCTGGCCGAGATCAGTGGGCTGCCCCGTGGAGAGCCTGGGCGAAGGTCTATGTAAAGGCGCCCAATGTGGAATTGTCACTTTTGCAGGGAAAGAGACAAACTCACTATTTCCAAAATTCGCCCAAAGCCAGTGTCTGTGGTCCGGGGTGATGGAAGACACTGGGAGTTAAGATGCTGAGGTTTTCGAAAAGCCACCTCGCCTCTCTTCCTAAGTGGCCCCTTCAGTCAGATGAGAGGATTGACCAATGGTTTCTACGATTGAGAGAACAGAATACTTTTGATTTGGGAGGTGGGGTTGGGGGGCAGGGAGGCCATCTGGAGAATAACAGCAAGTGTGCCCGTGAATCTTCCTTGGTTTATGTCCAGTTTCATTCTCATGCGATGAGTTGTATTGGTATTTTTATGTTCCTGGTCTCTGTGTGCCGCAAATGCCTGACCTCGAGAATGTGCCAGGCTGCCTCAAGACCAGCCTAGCTTTCACAGCGGAGCCTCGAGGGTCTGCAAAGGATAGACCACAGAATTGAGGAGCAGGAATCTGTTTCATTCCTTTGATCTTGTCAAAAGAGTGAACACATTTGCCGGAGCCAGCTGGCTTCTCAGGGGTGGGGAATGGCACAGCCTGCAGCCTCTTGTGTCCATGGCAACCACAGGTCCTAGGAAAATCAAAACGTGCATCGGGCCTTTTTAGAAACAATAGCTACCCCTGAATACAAGAAAAAATATATATGGAGAGAGAGGCATCATGGAAGGATGTGTTCTGGCTGCTATTAGTTCATTTCTGGAAATATCAAGACTCTACGATCTTTTAACAATTAACAGTTTGAACCACAATAGTTCTCATTCCCATTTTCATTGCCAAGGGCCTGATATGTTTGGTACATTTAGCACCAATTTTAGAATTGTTCTAACTTGTAGATTATAGAGCAGCTGGGGCGATGTGTGGGAATCGTTTTGTGGACTATAAAGCTCTGTGTACCTGCAAGATGTGTGATGTCCTGAACCTGCTTAGAAATGAGGACATCTGTATCTTTCAGTTTCCTCATTCTGTGTGAGTAGACATTTCTAGTGAGTGGAAATGTGAGGATTCTGAAAGAATAGGGTTACCATTATTCAGGGGTGAGTTATCTATCCATGGGTTATACAACATTTTGCTCTTTGTTTCTGCTCTTGTCCTCGGAATATTTCAGTAGTTATATATTACACGGCAGCAGGCAGAGGGAAAATAAGTGGGGACCTAAATATTTCCTCTATGCCTAAAAAAAGACAATGAAATAACAGCAGTAAAGAAAATTGAGGGGGGGAAACACACAACACACACCCATAATTCCACCTTCCTAACACGAATAGTTGACTTAAAATTTTTTTCTTCATGTTGTTGGGTTGCTAGGAACCAGAAACCTACTCAGTCCAGCTTCAATTTAAAAATAATAATAAAGGATGAGTTTATGGAAAGACATAGGCCTATGGCATAGACTCCAATAACAGGAAGCAACATCTGCTTAGGAACTGGCTTTAGGAATGAACTGGAAAACCCAGAAACCAGGCCGGCAGATCCTCTCCCCTCCTTTCCTGCAGTGTTTCAGTGTCTGCCTTTGGCCCCTCTTCTCTGCACAGACAGACTTTCCCTAATTCGTTTGCACGTGGCCCACTCTCTGTTGCCCCAAAATGCCACCCTCAATCCCAAAGCTCGCTTCCAATCTCAGCACGGCACCCACTGAGTCAGACTCCAGATCCCAGTTTTCCTGGAGAGCATTGGTCCAGCCCAGCCTCTGGGTCACGTGGATGGCAGTTCCCAGGGAAGGGACCTGGCTAGGCAGGTCCCCACAGGTGTCTCTGTTCTACGAAGCACTTCTCATACTGCTCTCTTGTGTTTAGATTCTCTAATATTCTTACAATCCAAAAGTACTTCGCTGAGCTATTTTAAAAGTCTTTGGTTTGTTTTTCTAAGTGTGATCTTTGAAACTGTGGTGGAAACTGAGTTGTTAGGATCATCTGAGAATTGGAATCCTTTGAGTTTCCTGTGGCCAAATATCTCCTAAAATTAGCCACATTCAAAGAATGTTTTTATTGAATCCTTTAATCCTTTTCCACATCCTTTGTTATTTGCAATTTCTCTTGAGGGTCCTAAAATACATATTTGCTCATTGAAAAAATTTTGGTTACTCATTTTCTTAGAATGCCAAATAGCCAAAGCTAATTTAATTCCCTTTTTTTTTCTCATTTGTGTATCTATGTTCAGCCAGAAGGTCAGGAAAATGCCCATTTTAGTGGAAATGTTTTCAAATTCACTTGCTCCCCACAGCCAAGTCAAAACCCCCTCACCACCATGTTATAACTCAGTAAATTATAAACAATTGAGGTTTTCAGTTATGAACTAAGAGAACTTTGTTTTTATTATTTTTTATCATTTTTTGCAAAAAGTTTTAAATTGGTTTTTAGGGAGAGGGAGGGAGGAAGAGAGAGAGACACACATACACACACATATACTTCAATGTGAGAGAGAAATATTGATCAGTTGCCTCCCGCACGCGCCCTGACCAGGGATCGGACCTGCCATCTTTTGGTGCCCGAGATGACACTCCAACCAACTGAGCCACACTGGCCAGGGCGAGAGCCTTGTTTTTAATGAGTCACTTAGAAATAGGTCTATAACTCTGAAGGTAAGCCACTTGAGATTTCAGACCTAGGTGGTGTCCACTTGACCATTAAAGAACATTTAAAGAACATGATATAAACCCCACAAAGTTCTTATTTTGGTATTATTTTTTCAAGAAGGACATTTTAAGACTACTAGATATAAACAGTTATGGGAAAACAGAAAGGGGGGGAAATACTATGTGTGTATGTATATACATGCTGAAGAAATACTATAAAGAGTATCTTTTTGTCATTTAAATTTCAAGCCATAAAGGATTGTTGATGTGGTTGGAGGGAAAGTAGGAAATCTTACCTTTTTCAGCATTAATCAAAATGAACCCAAGATTATAAGTTTATATCACAGTGAAAGACTATTTTTGCTCCACATTTTGTTTTGGGAAAGTCTTGGATTTCTCTACAAATTTTCAAGTAAGGTGGGAGAAGGGAGGGGAATGAGCATTCATAGTTTATTTTGTGTGCCCTTATCTTCCTGTTTCTAAACTTGAAAGGGCACATTTAGAATTTAGACTGGAGTAAATGTGAATCCTTGCAGCAAGGCTCTCACTTCTGATGCTATAATTCTTGCCAAAGCAGTCTGCTCTCACTACATCTCTGCAAGGAGGCAACAGGGGAAAAAAGAGCAAAAAGTGGATTTTGTCAGGCTTTGGAAAAATAGCTACTTTCAGTGCAACAGATTAAAGCATAGCAAACATGATTCTTCTATTCTTGAAGGATGTTCAAGGTCAGATTTTATGAGATCCATATAGCTTTGGGATTTGTACCATGGCATGTAATTGCCTTTACATGTAGTTCTGGAATGTCTACCATGTATTTACTCAATTCATGAAACTTTGACTAAAATGAATAAAAATAGTTGTAGCTACTTTATAATAAAAAAATAAGTGCAGAGCTTAATCGTCTCTCTACTTCATTCTGTCATAACAGGGAAATTATTGCAAGTTAATTCGGGTGCCAAAGAACAACTCTTTTTTGAAGCTCCGAGAGGCAAACGGCATATAATAAGACCTTCAGAGGTAACAGTCGTACACAAAGCTTTAAAAAATATATCTCATGAAGATTTAATATAACCAATCAATTCTTGTCCACTAATATGTGCGTTATATTTTTAATAAAACCTAACAGTTGTTATCCACTAATATGGGTTACATTTAGTGTACCTTTATGCTTGATAGTTTCTTAAATCTGGTTGCTTAATCTGGTTTCCTGCTTTCTGGGGATTTAAGTAGCAATGCACAGTTCAAATTCTCCTTAATTTTTCTGTGCCTGATGACAACAACCAAAATGCTACATATTCTTAGCATTTAGATGCTACATATTCTTTTTATCCCATTCAACATGTTGTTTTGTGCAAAGCTCCTTATAAACGTAAATTTTTGAAACATACTTTCTCAGTGTTTACTATTTGTAATAATATTTTCTGCAACAATAATAAGACAAATGATCTTTCAGAACAAAAGCTGTCCAACGATCTGGCTATCTTGATTTATCAAACTTTCTTTTTTCCTTGTTTTCCTCATGTCCTTAGGCCCATACATACTTATTGTTAAAATCAAAGCCTAGATAAAATGTTTGAATCCACAAATTGCCTCCTTCCTGAAAGCTAGCTGCCCGGTGCTTCCATAGAATGACCCTCATGACCAAAAGGTCATTGCCCGACTGAGCTCTAAGAATGTCCTCTTAGTCCCGGGAGACAATCTGACTCATTTATAGGCAATGTAAACTTTGATGAAAGAAAAGGAAATATTGCTTCCTTTGAGGAAAAGTGGGTCAAAGTACTACTGAGGGATAAGCACCTGCCTCTCTCTTCAGTTTGCCAGTAAACTATCCCGGTATTGTCAAGTAGTCCTGGAGACAATTGGACACACACACACGTTCATAGGGTTTTCATCATTTCTAAAGGAAGTCTATGTGCAGTACTTAGGAAAACAAGTTGTTGTACATGATGACACTGTATTAATGGAAATTGTTTACTGATCAATTGGTCTCACACCCCCAATTCCAATTTATTCACCTCTGATCAGTCCTCATTTTAACTTAAAAAAATAAATTTATTGGGGGTGTGATTGGCTAATAACATTATATAGGTTTCAGGTGTACAATTCTATAATCCACCATCTGTATATTGTGTTGTATGTTCACCAGCCAAAGTCCGTCGTCATATATTTGACCCCTTAAACTCTTCATCCTCCCTTCACCCCCTTTCCTCTCTAGTAAGCATCATACTGTTGTCTGTGTCTATGAGTTTGTTTTGTTTTGTTGGTTCGTGTGTTGCTTTTTGTTTTCTATCCCACATATGAGGGAAATCAAATGTTTCTTGTCCTTTTCTGTCTGACTTTTTCACTTAGCATGATATTCTCAAGCTCCATGTGTGTTGTCCCATATGGAGAAACATTTATAGCCTCGAGTAGGGGATGTTTCTAATTGTGTCATTCATTCCCTGAACATCTGTTGAATGTGCCAAGCACTTCATATGCCTGCATTTTAATTTTCTTAACAGCCTTGTGTGAGGGTTGTCAATCTCATTTTACATATAGGGAAATAAAGATTCTAAGAGAGTAGGAAGTCTGTGGAGCTGTGATCCCAATCTGGAGGGCTCCGTATGTGATTCTACCTGGCTATCTTCTAAATATTAAGCATCATTTTTACATCACTTCACCTTTATTTTCCCATCCTGTTCCAGTGCCCCCAAATAAATACACTAAAATAAAGTGCAGTTTAACCAAATGATGGGGGGGGGGGGAATGCAACTTGATATAGATGAACAATTATTATGTAAAAGAATATGCATAAGAGGGAAATTCATGTTATAAGGCTTCCTGAAATGGTATACATTCATATCAGTATGAACTGCTCTTCAGATAGTCTCTCCAGAGCATAAAGAATATTAAGCTAGCTGCAGAATCTGATTATTCTTTCCTCCAAGGAAGCATTCCATAAAAAATAAAAAGTTATGTCTTATAACTTTTTAAAATAGTTTGCTAAATAATCAATCTCCTTAATCAGTGTGCTCAGTGGTTTTAACTGGGAGCAAGGGCCCCAGGGTCATTGGGGATGTCTGGGAACAACTTGGGGAGGGGGTGCTACTGGCATCCCATGGGTGAAGGACAAGGATGCTACTAAACATGTTACTATGCACAGGACTACCCCTGACAATAAAGGATTGTGCAGCCTGAAATGTCAATAGTGCTTTCACTGAAAAACCTTGATCTAGCTTATATGGCTTATCTATAATAATAAAAGCATAATATGCTAATTAGACCAGACATCCTTCCAGATGACCTTCCAGACAAAGCCAGGGCTGCAAGGGAAGCCCGGGTCCCAGGTGCCTGCCAGCGGCCAGAGGGAAGCCCTGATGGACCCTGTTGCTGGCCAAGCCTAGGGACCCTACCCATGCACGAATTTTGTGCACTGAGCCTCTAGTACAATGATAAATATCTAGGTAAGAACTAAAGAACGTTATCAGATTTCCATAATTCCCAAAATGTTAATCTTATCTAGAGAAGTCTGTGTGGATATTTGACTGCAGTGTTGATTTATTAAGACAATGCATGTAGCACTTTAAAATGCAACTTAGAACCGTGTACCTCAGCACTCAGCACAGGTGCCTGATGTGGGCAGAGTCATCATTTAGCACTAACTCAGCCTCAAAAGGTTCCTTTTAAACAAAACTAAAGATCTCTAGGCTGTGCAAAAATACATTAATTTTCTTTTCCTTCTTTTTAAGGTTGAAAAGATAGAGTGGGACACGTGGACCTGTGTCCTGGGCCCCACCTGTGAGGGGATCTGGCCCGCACACAGTGATGTGACCGACGTAAATGCTGCCAGTCTCACCAAAGACTGCTCCCTCTTAGCCACCGGAGATGATTTCGGGTTCGTCAAGCTTTTTTCATATCCTGTCAAGGTAATATTGCACGTTTATTATATATACTTGCTCAGTCTCATTAATGACCCCAAATCTATGTACTATATCTAAGTGGATTTTTAAATGTTGAAGGCATAGAAATCAACAATGTTGTCTACAGCACTGTCGTTATTTATGCTGTATGAAAACCTTCATGATGGTATGTTTACTAATTTGAGTCAGTCTGTGGCATTGAATTTCTCCTTGAAAGGCCTTCATTGATCATCAAATCCAATACCTCACAAAATGGCATGTAAGAATTTTCTTCAGAACCTCTTGGACCTGTGTCTTTCTAACATGTACTAGCATACTTCCCAAGATGAAGAACTCCTTACTTCCCGAAGCAGCCCATTCATTTAAAATAGATCCAGTTGTTAAAATGTTTCTGTTCTAGATTGAGCCGAAATGTTTTCTCTTTAGCCAAAGTTCTGCCTTCAAAATCATCATCGGTTAACTCTGGTCCTCTAACAGCCGCATATGTAGGAGGACCACCTTTGACTTCCTAGAGCAGTGATGGCGAACCTTTTGAGCTCGGCGTGTCAGCATTTTGAAAAACCCTAACTTAACTCTGGTGCCGTGTCACATATAGAAATTTTTTGATATTTGCAACCATAGTAAAACAAAGACTTATATTTTTGATATTTATTTTATATATTTAAATGCCATTTAACAAAGAAAAATCAACCAAAAAAAATGAGTTCGCGTGTCACCTCTGACACGCATGTCATAGGTTCGCCATCACTGTCCTAGAGTCTCATTCTCTCCAGACTGCCATCTCCAGGTCTTCAGCCATTCCCCATTTGACATGGTTTCCAGTTTCCCCTCCCTGTAAGCACACTCCATTTTATTCCATTTCAAACTGTCTCATCTAAGACTGAACTCGGTGCTTCAGATGTCATCTGAGCAGCTCAGGGTACAGTAGGACTTTCATCTTCTTGTCTTGATTTTATATTTGTTTTAACTTAAATTAAAATGACATCAGCTCTTGGTTGCCACACTATACAATCGAATCATATACGTCATTGCCCAAAATGTTCAGGTTATAACCCCATCTTACACAACTGACTTTCTAAATACTGAGGACAGAAGTTCATATTTGTACCAAATAAGACTTATCTTGTTTATTTTATCTCATTGTTCCCACCTGTCAACATCTTTTAAATACTTCCTCAGAGTATTTACTTTCCCTTCCAGCATCAGGTCATCCTCTGGTTTCACCAGTGTGAGCTCTAAGTCATGGAAAGAAAAAATATAAACTAGAACACCCAACTGCCTCCACCAGGAGCTCCCATTCAATCTGACATTCTGATGTTAGTGCGCACATTTAATTTCAGTTCTTCAGTCAGAAACAGACATTTACCTCTCTCTGATTATGCTGTATTGGACCTCACCTTTCCCTCGCTAGTGCAACAAGACATCACTACAGACTTGGCACATATCTTGCTAAAAGCCAGATTGAGTGTGTCTCTGGTGTCCCTAATCTCCCCTTCCAACAAACCAACCAATGGAAAATGTGGGGTTAGTTCACAGTGAAGCCCTGTTGCTGCCCAGTAATCATTACTTCCTTTTCCAAGTGCTTAAAAGACCTTCTGTGTAATAATTCACCCTAGAATTTTCCAGAGTTTGCATCAACTCATGAATCAATATTTGCCAGAGTCCACTTGTTTTCCCATTTAGATACAGGAGCCTTTTTGTGTTCGATGTCGCCTCTCCTGGTCTCTAAACTCGTTGGGCATTCCTGATTTTGTTTCTGTGGTCACATTGCAAGGTACCTGTACTCAGGTACATGAGCTCTGTTTTGTCCTTCCTGGTTTGAAGAGCATTCTCTTTAATAGAGGCCGTAAGTCTGCTTTCTGTTCATATTAAACCATCTGATCTAAGAAGGGTTCCTAGCGTTCTGTATTTTTCTTTTAGCCCTATATATAGAAAATCCTTTTCTGTTTTCTTAGCTTTTTGCTTTAATATTCTAAAACTATATCAAAGTTGTCAGTGCAAGACTTTTGTATTCCCCTTGGTTTTCACTCCTCTTTCTCATTTGTACATTTACCTGAACACACCAGTTCCCTCCACAGCCCTTTGGGTATCTTTAGATGCCTTCCTCTCTCCTCTTTCATTTGTTAATATCTGGTTAGGAAATAATTTTTGGTGGTCTTTTCTGAGATTCACTCCCAGTGATCATCACGTCACTGTCAGTTACCAGCCCTTCCTATTTGACCAGAATTCCCTTTAATGTAGCATTTTTCCTTGCTACTTTTACATTACTTGAAATGAGACTGCTAGCTGGACAAGTTAGGGATGTCCTGGTATTAGTAGACTGAGGTTTGGGCCTCTATTTAGATAGCTGAAATCCCCAGAATGCTATTGCATCATGCTCCAGGGCTAGGTTTATTATTGGTCCTGGAATTCATCACCTCCATCCCCGGCCTGACCAGGTGTGCTGTCTATAGTAATGTCACCCTGTGTTCCAGGAAGGTTCCTCAGGGACCACCCCAGGAAACACAGTAGGGGGCAGTGGGAGGGGCCTGCGGCCCCACCTCTGCTTCAACTAGTCATTGTGTTTTGTATTTCATATGTTGATTCTCTGTGTAAGATTTTTTTACAACAGTTTGTTAGAAAAAATTTCAGCCCTAACCGGTTTGACTCAGTGGATAGAGCGTCGGCCTGCAGACTGAAGGGTCTCAGGTTCGATTCCGGTCAAGGGCATGTACCTTGGTTGCTGGCACATCCCCAGTAGGGGGTATGCAGGAGGCAGCTGATGGATGTTTCTAACTCTTTATCCCTCTCCCCTCCTCTCTGCAAAAAAAATCAATAAAATATATTAAAAAAGAAAAAAGAAAAAATTTCAAACATACAGTTAAGGTGAAGGAATGATACAGTGAACTTCTAGGACCCCACCACCTAGAGTCTACAATTCAATATAGATATAGACATCAGGATACTTACCCCTAATGAGTTCCTGTGCATATAATTACCTAGAGTTCAACATTTATTTGTGGTATATTTTAGGTAAAATTTATATATAGTTGTAATGCACAGGTATTAAGGTTCCTTTTGATGAACTTTGACAAACACACCTACGTAATCCAAACACCTATCAAGATAAACATTATCATCACCCAGTAAGTTTCTTCATGCTCCTTCCAGGCCAATCTCTACCCCCACTTTACCCTCAGATGGAAAAAAAATATTCCAGTGTTTTTCATCATAGATTAGTTGTACCTGTTCCAGAACTTCATATAAATGGAATAGTCAAGTAGGTGCTGTTTTGTGTCTGGCTTCTTTCACTCAGATGCTGTTTCTGAGATTTCTGCATGTTGTTGGTGGCTAAGAACAGTCTGTTACATCTTTATAGCTGAGTGGAATGCCATTGTATGGACACCTGGTTTTTCCACTGTTTGGTTATAATAAAGCTGCTATGAACATTTATGGACAAGTCTTTGTGGGCATATGTTTTCTTTCTCTTAAGTAAATATGTAGGAGTAGAATTTCTGGGTCATAGGAGAAAATGTGTATTTAACTTTTTAAGTAACTGCCAGACCTTTTTCCATTTTCCATTCCCACCAGAAATATAAGCAAGTTCTAGCTGCCAACATCAGTGTTGTCAGACTTGTAAAATTTAGCTGTCCTGGGTGTAGGTAGTATGAGGGCTTCGTGTTTGTAATTTGCATTTCCCTGATGACTGATGATGCTGAGGGCTTTTCATTTGCTTATTGGCCATTTGTGAAGTATACCTCTTTTATCCATTGTTTTAAATTGGATTACTTGTCTTTTTATTCCTCAGTCCTACTTTGTAAGATTTGGTTGAAGAAATAGTTTCATAATTTGAAAGCATTTGAAAACCATTGGCTAATATTAAATAAAACTCCTTGATAGTATCACTTCTCTTCCTCCTCTTTTTTTTTAAATATGATTTTCTGGCACACTTTTCCTTCCAAATACATGGACCCAACCTGATGAATGTTTCCATCTGTCTAGTTACACTCCCCCACTGCTCTGGGTATGTTAGACAAAGTTCACCATCTGTTATGGACTGAATGTGTCCCCATCAAAATCCAAATGTTGAAGCCCTAACCCCCAATGTGACTATATTTGAGAATAGGGCCTTTCTGAGGACAATTAAAGCTAAATAAAGTCGTAAGTGTGGGGCCCAGATCCAATGGGATTAGTGCCCTCATAAGAGACACCAAAGAGGACATTCTTTCTCTCCATGCATAAATGCACCCAGGAAAGGCCATGGAGCCCACAGTGAGAAGATGGTATCCATAAGCCAGGAAGAAGGCTCTCACCAGAAACCAAAGTGACTGGCACCTTGACCTTAGATGTCCAGGCCTCCAGAACTGTGAGAAATAAATTTGTTGTTTAAGCCAGCATGTCATATTTTGTTATGGAAGCCCAACCGGACGAAGACAGCATCCCATTGCAGTATTCTAGCACTGAGCTCCATGTCATCAGGTGTTGGTGACACCTATGGGATCTAATCACCACACATATCTCTCTGTGTCCAAAAATCAAGTTCCATTTATTAAACTCTCAAGTTATGTCTTCTTCTTGGCCCTTTCCCTTGTTCTCCTTTCCCCTGAGTTACTAGGCATGTCTTCCAAGCATTTTTCTTCCATGACAATCATGGGTCCTTGTATAATCAGTTTCATAGTTTAAAATCTTTGTGATGACATTAGTTCCCTGACAATCGCATGTTTTCCTGCCTCCACGAGATAGACTCTCCTTTGCCAGAGCCCACCCATTTTTCCAGTTAAACCACATGCAATGCTGTCCTTCGACACCACCTATATAGCTAGCTGATTGCTTCCCTTATCCGCCCTTCTTTTTCAAAGCTATGCCCTTCCACTAGATTGGAGAGGTTAAAATATCACCATGTCCTCCATTCTAAAGCTAAACTACCTGGTTCAGGTGTTGACTCTGATATTTATTAACTGTTTGACTTAAGGGGAGTTTCTTAGAATCTTTGTGACAGAGTTGGTCCTCTGTAAGGTGGGAACAAATCTTTCTCTAATTGGATACTATGCCATTATACAAATTAATACTTATAAATATTTTGAATAATGCTTACCATATGGGAAGTATCCCAAACTTTTACTTTTTGATGTAGTTGTTGTTATGTCATTTTTTAAAATTCTCACCTTTTTTTAAAGCCTCTGTGGACTTTGTCATTCCTAAAGATGCCACCTACTCATCTAGAAATTAGCTATAATTCAGTGTTTAGTATCAAGAACTTGTATGTTGATGACCCTTTGTTGAATTTCTTCATTTGTATATTTCTTTTCTCTCACAAAACTGTAAAATCACCAGTAATTTAGCGACTTCATATCCTCCATTAGAAAAGTGTAACAAAGGAAACTTAAGGATAAAAAATATATCTTACCATGTCATTTTCATTTTTAAAACCCATCCTCAGGTTCTTCAGTTTCTTTCTCAGAATGTCAAAGGCTCAAGAGAATTTTTAAAGAGAGAGAAAGAATGGTTCTTCAAAGAGGAAAGTTTTTCATATAGAGAAACTGTATGAAATGTGAATGTGGGGAGAGGGTACATAATTTTCATCATATTCTCAGAAATTACTCACCTAAAAACAGTTAACTGCTCTGGGGACATATTTCAGATTATCCATATTTTTTGTAAATATGTTTTTATTGATTTTCTTAGAGAGGAAGGGAGAGAAACATCAATGTGAGGAAGAAACATTGATCTGTTGCCTCCTGTACACACTCCAGCCTGCAACTTGGCCATGTGCCCTGATCAGGAATCAAACTGGTGACCTTTTGGTGCACAGGACGATGCTCAACCAATTGGGCCACACTGGCCAGGGCAGAGTCTCCATTCTTTCAGTATTTGGTGGAAGGGGAGCATCGTGGTAGTGAGTCCTGATGTCTGTAACAGAAATGCAGGATTTGGCATGATGACCCAGAAGGACAGTGCGTCTGACTGGCTGTGCCAGCTCTTCAGGAGGCTCCTCCCATAGGCCCTAAGAGGACCACCAATCACCCCTGCCCGCCTCTTCCTCCTGGGGAACAGCTGGTTTCCTGAACCTTCTGATAACTGTGAATTCCTTTTCATTGTTCCATGGAGCAGTAATCTTGCTTCCTATTGTGAGAATCTTGAATCACCCTTTGCTGGAATTGACTCCAAAACGTTCCCTTTTTCTTACCCCTTTGGTCCACTTTCTTTGCCTCTGCAAAGATTCTAATTGATCATCCCCCCCCCCCACACACACACACCTGATATTCGTATATTGGTCCCTGATATTCCTCCCCCCTCCCCGCAACCTTTCTTTTTGGATTCTTTTTTCCACCCCCATCTAAAAACCCTGTGTTCCTTCATGTAAGTGAGAGCATGGAGAGGCATTTCTCAAGTTCTTTTACTTTCTCCTTCCCTCAAGAACCCAGCTTGCATAATGGTGTGGGTCTTGCTTCCAGCAGGAAGGCCGGCAGCACCCACAGCGGCAGCCACCGTGACTGTCCTCTTCGCGTCCGTGCCTCTGGGTCTCATCTGGTCACATGGTGGTTCCCCGTGGAAATCCTTATTTGGCTCTGCCTATTTGCTTCGTAAGCTAGTGGCTCTGGAGGGCTTCCTGGAAACGCTGCCCACCTGCTTGCTTCCCTCATCCTCTAGACTCAGCACTGGGCTGAGCAGTGGGCGGGTCCACTCTGCTGGCAGGTAGGGTCGGCCAGATCCACAGAGATCCGACCAAGAGTATTTTAAAGGCACACACTCCCCTGCACCTGTCTCCTGCCGCCTGCTTGTGGCGGTTTCAGGTTCCCCAGGGCGCGGGTCCAAAACCCCCTGGGAGCCTCTTGTCAGTTATTGAATAAAGCGTTCATCTGGGACACTGGTGGCCCTCCCAGGACTTCAGAAAGCACATGCAGCTTCCCACACTGGGAGGTATTCCCCGGGAGTCGCCAAGAGGATGGAAAAACTCTCCCTCTTTAAATGGCTCCCGCCGGAGCTGTTTTTGCCAGCCAGACTCTGGCTCCTGAGCCAGAAATGGAAGCCGGCGTCTGATGTCAGCTGCAAATCCCCACCACTTGTCAGGGCTGCCCCGGGTGAGCAGGCAGCCACCGCTCACATTCACTTGTCCTTCCCCTCCTGGGGTAAGCCCGGCGGGGCCTGAGCGCGCTCTCGGAAATTGCTAATAACCTGGGTTCTGTTTACTCGAATGTGTTTGTTGAAAAGCGGCTTACTTTGTTTTTAAATCAATTCCTCGAGTGCTTCCAGTGTTAGAAATTGTTTCCAGGGTCTGTGGCAGAAACTGGTGTGTGTGTTTCAAATCTTCCTTGAGGCCCCAGGATTAGAAGTCCCTTGCTGGTCAGCCACAGTCTGGGCTGTGGTACAAAAGCCACTGTGGGGAGTGACTGGGAGGCCACCTCTGATCTCAAATGTCAGCCAGACTCACAATCAGGAGTTTATGCCAGAGACCTGGGGAGAATCCACATTTGATATTTGAGAGAAACAAAAACAAGCTTCTTATACTTCCTTACGCTCCCAGAAATAGCTTCTGTAGTCCAACATTTTACTTGTTCCCTTACAAATTTATTGGGGACCTGTGGTGAGCCAGGTAACGTTTTGGGGGAAAGGAGACCTGTTCCCTGCCTTCATAGAGCTTACAGTCTAGGAAATTGCTGCTCAGATGTTTCATTCGTATCCAGTACAAGCCACTCTAGAGAATAACGTGGATGAGATAATCCCGAGTCAGGAGCAGTGGGGCTCCCGATGGGGTAATGGCCAGTTTCTGGCTTCACAGGGCCAGCACGCGAGATTCAAGAAGTACGTGGGGCACAGCGCCCACGTCACCAACGTGAGATGGCTGCACAACGATTCAGTGCTGCTCACGGTAGGGGGCGCCGACACGGCCCTGATGATCTGGACCAGGGAGTTTGTGGGGACGCAGGAGAGCAAGCTGGTGGACAGCGAGGAGTCGGACACCGATGCAGAAGAGGATGGAGGTGAGTCCCAGCAGCCACGTGCCACCCGCACCTCCCTCCCCACCCCCTCCTGAGCCATGGCAATCCAGCTCCACTCCCCACCTTCCTGTCTTTTGAGGCTATGACAGTGATGTTGCCAGAGAAAAGGCCATTGATTACACCACCAAGATCTATGCCGTGAGCATCAGGGAAATGGAGGGCACCAAACCACACCAGCAGATGAAGGAGGTTTCCATGGAAGAAAGGTATGGTGTCGCCAGGTTTGTTTGCATTTGTCATACCTGACGACGAGAAACTCATGTAAACTGAACCACAGTGCATTTTCTTTGCCCTCAAAGATGCTACTTAAGCTAGTCTTTTACGTGTATGCACAGTCTTAACCTGCACACGAGCTTAATTTGGGGAAAGTTGCCCACAGCCCTCAATATGTGGCAAAGGGTGGGTTACTCTTTGCCAAAGTTACTTATGGAATGACTTGAACAGACATGAGATGGGGTTGGACTAGGCTTCCCTTGCCCAGAGAGGATGTCAGGATACCCAGCAGATGTCCTGAATGGGATGGGTGTGCTGACTGGACAGGTAGGAGGGGGGGCGGGCTTCTGGGGTCAGGAGGGAATATTTGTGGGTGTGACATAATCCTCCATTCTAACCAGAGGCTGCACGTTACTCTGTCACTTGGTGTACCTTCTCTTACTGTCTTCACCTGCCCACATTCGTTCAGGTGTGTTTGGCGATTCCAGGCCTATTGATTTTGTTGTCTTGGATCCTCTGTGGAGAAGGAAAGTTGCTGGTATTATTTCAGGCCTTTTAGATGTGTTATTGTAAATTATTATTGTAATCAACAAGAGAAATTGTCAAATGTTTTAACATTTTGTTTAAATTACTACTATTACTTAATTTGCCATCTTCATAGTAGGGAGGATAAGTATTGAATAATGACTTTTAACATCTAAAGAGAATTTCATGGATCTTAGATGTTTAAGAATTCACTATGGGCTCTTCACATTGATGGATACCCTGATGTCTACAGTTGATGAGACTCAAGTTGTTTTTTGCACTCATTATGGCTTTCTGCCCAGTAATAACTATTTAATAATAGCACCTTTTGCTGTTAGGTAGGATTTGTGATACAAAGAAATAAAATGTCACTTCCCCTCCTTTTCGGTTGAGAAAGGGTGGGTGTGCTGCAGGCAAGAAAAATCTGATGTGAAAAAACCCTAATTCCTCCCTAGAATCTTTGCCAGATGCTACTATAAAGGCTCAGACTTCTCCTTTTTTTTTTTTTTTTTTTAAATTATATAGATATTTCTACAATAGTCTGTAAATTATAGTTTATTTTGCTTGCAATGTAGTTTTTTAGTTTTTTAAAAGAGGCAATAAATGTAAGGGACTAATATTAAGAACCAAAAAAAAAGAACCATATGCACTATGAATATGTCCATGAATAAGCGTTCCACTTACATAATCTACTTGAAAAATCATTTGGCAGCCCTAGCCGGTTTGGCTCAGTTGATAGAGCGTCGGCCTGGGGACTAAAGGGTCCCGGTTTGGATTCCAGTCAAGGGCACATGCCCAGGTTGTGGGTTCCATCCCCCAGCAGGGGGTGTTCAGGAGGCAGCCGATCAGTGATTCTCTCTCATCATTGATGTTTCTATCTCTCCTTCTCCCTTCCTCTCTGAAATCAATAAAAATATATATTAAAAAACAAAAACATTTGGCATAAATTAAACATTCTTTTGAAAGAAAATTACCCAATCTTTCCAATTTCACGTGACATTATGTAATGAGTTGACTTGGCTATTATTCCAAGGTTGTTTGTGGATGATTTCTACAGCCAATGCTTTGTCGTGCTATGATTTAGACTGGCCCCTAAGATTAGCAATCTAACCAAATGCCTAATTCCAAACACTACAGCTGATCTCCAACCTAAAGTGAGTCTCATCTGAACCTTTCTTGGTCTTGGTGTGTCTCTGGGCAGGTCTGTAAAAATCTCATACCTGTTCAATGTAGGAAGAGGTGGACGAGGTGAAGGTAGAGATGACCCTAAGAAGAATTTTCTATCTTAAAATCCAGAATTTTGAAGCTTCCTCATTTTCTTCAATACGCCAGATTGAAAACTTGTTCATAGCATACACAGGATTGGCTTTTTTTTTAATACAAAAGAAAAAAAAATGCTTCATAGTATTATGAGATATGTGGGGAGTTATTTTAGTACTTGACTGGCATTAAAAAAATAACTCACACCAGGGTGTAGTGAAGAAAACGTGTTGTGAAGAACACAATTTTAAGATAAATACAGGGTCCAGAGGAATAATCAAGCCTTTTCTGTACATAGCCGTGTCTCTGATAACTTACACCAGCATGAGTTCCCACTGGGGCTGAAAGCAGAGAGCACCGCACAGCATGCTGGGAGCAAAGCGGGCCACAGCAGGAAGGGGCGAGCAGAGGAGGAACCGTGAATAGTGTCTGACTTAGCAGCCTCCATGGGGCAAACCCTAATCAGAATCAAGAACAAGCGGTGTCCACCAGTCGTTGTCAGTAATTTTAGGGGAGCCTGAATCTCAGAGATATGACTATAGGCAGCTCTGAACAGGAGAAAAGACAAGGGGGTGCCAGGCAAGGCAGGGCCTTCAGAGAATTTGTGAGGAAGCAGGATGAGAAAGGGAAGATGGGCAGGGAGGGCTCCTAACGATAAGTCAGAAGAGGGCTCACCCAGGGTACAGACTGGGTTCCATGGACTCCAGTGTCCCAGGCGTGAGAGAGGCAGAGCCAGAGAAATGCTGGGGCCTCAGACCACAGGAGCATGGGGCAAGGCAGCACCCAGGTTCTCAGGGAATATTCAGGACTGTCACCTGTGACACTGCTCCCTTTGGCTCCATCAAGCCCTGCTGATTCCAGGGCCAGGCTCTGCTTGACCTTCCCCTTGTTCCTTCCTGTCTGTGTCTGGCTGCAGATACCTGCCTGTATCTGGGTGCATTTTCTAAACACCCAGGCATGTGCCCATAAGACTAATGGGAGACAAAGACTCAAGGACCACAAGAGACATGAGCTTGGAATACCCAGTCAGTGCCGGGGGAAGGCATATCAATTAAAAAATAGGATTTTATTTTTAAAATCAAGAAGTCATTTTTTACTCCTTCTCACCTCATTTTTGATAAGCTGAGCACAAATTAATTGATTATTATTGGTATATATTCATTTTTTAAAGCATAGTTTATATTGTTTCTTGAAGTAATAGTAAGTATAACTCTTGTAGGTTCAACTTTTATAATGAATGGCTTGTAATTGTTTCATGTTGAACTTGTCACTGTTGAGTTTTTAACAGAGCTTTCTCTGGGTTGGTGTACGTGGCTTTGTTATAATACCAGCGTGCATTTCTGAAATTGTCCTTGTTGTTTGACAAGAGATCCACACTTGTCTTTGGCTTTCCTGTCCTGAGCATGGAATCTGGTCTCTATCTAGTGCACATTGCTTTGTTCCCCATAACCACTAGAGGTGCTTAAATTATTGTAGGCTAAATAGAAAAAAAAAAAAACACACAACACACTCTTTTTTTAAGGTTGGCAAAGTTAAGTTGATTTTTAAATTTAACTCTTTTTTAGCCTTGTTTTAATGGGAGTTTTTGTGGGGTTTTTTTGCTGTCTTCACTGCACCATGTTGTATGTTGTATTTCTGAAGGTTATATTGGATAGTGTGGCCTAAAACTTCAGAAACCTTTCTCTTCTCTAATTTTGATTCTTGGCTCAAGTTCCCTAACATTGGCTTCATAGAATACAAAAATACAGGACACCTAGTACCTTAAATAGAATTTCATAAAACTAGTAGACAGTGAAAGGAATAATCTTGAATCTTTCAAGTTTGGCCTAAACTCTGTGGCAGTTGAGGCCCCAGAAAGAAAGAGAGAAATATTCTGAAAAGGGAGTAGTTTGGGGAGAGCTTAATGAAGGAACTATTAACAAAGGTTTGGGCAATAATAAGGGGAACAACAGGGTTGGGGCAGCCTTGGGGATAGCAACAGCTGAAAGCCATTACCATACCTGGGCCTGGAGCGGGAAAAGGAGGAAGCTGTTGCCAGATGTGGAGAACAGCTGCAGGAGTGGACCACATTATGAGAGCTGAGACCTGAGGGAGGGGGTTGAAGGTAACCAGCCTGAGGAGGTATCAGGAGAACAGATGGCGTTCTCCTTGCACCCTGTCCTCCGGTGCCTCTCTGGCGCTGAATCCAGTCAGAAGCTGAAGGCGAATCCAGTGGTGCAGTCCCCAGAGGTGGCCTTGGAGAGCAGAAGGGTAGAGATATGAAAGGGCACATGGAAAATATCCAGCTCATTCTCCTTGAGTTTTTTTGTTTTTTTTTTCCCTAATAGAAACAGGTGTTGTTATCACAGAAAAGAACTTCAGGCCATTTTAATGTTAAACAGGAACTACTATCACTTATAAACACCTTTGAATATACACAGGTATTTATCACCCAGTATTACAACAGTGTATATATAATCAATTAAAAATGCCAGTGAATACAGCCAGATCAGTAAAACTTTACCCAGTTCAAGTGGAACAGTTTTGAGGAACCTTGGCCTTGACACCACTGTCGGAGTGCCTCTGGCATCGCATTATAAAAGACTCTAGCACACTAAGTCTGACTTTTGTAATTGAAATTTTGTATTCACATTACATGGTGATAGTCCCAGATATTTTTTCAAAATAATGTTTAAACATCTTTAGCCCATCTTCAAAGGTTTTTATTTTCACATTAAGGAAACAAAAATCAGAAATTAGAAATTTACAACCATAGACATGTTTAGTGCCAATATCCGATATTCTTGTATGAATCAAACAATCATACAACCTCAATTTTGCATTCTGTGTAACTGCATGATCACCACAGAGGTGAATCACCAGGCATTTCAAAAATAATTCATAGATAGGATCTAATAATATCCCCAAGTGCAGGCTGTGGCCTTTTATTAAAATCCAGATGAGCTGACCAACATCAGTCTTTCTAGCTGGACCTGGTGGGGCCATGGATTGTAACTTATTGTTAAATATCTGCTGTTTGACACATGGTCCTCATCTCCTCCTCACCCATCTGCTTAGATTAACCATCTACATGGGGAATAGTAAATAATTGAGTTTTTTATTTGATATATTCTATTGAAACCTGGGGCTTGTGTTCAGGAAAAAAACACACACGTAAGTTGATAATGACAAGATACAAAATTAATACAAATTGAACTATTTTTACAGAAATCGGCATATCATA